CGAGGTTTTGGAGCGTCTGAAGCGTCCAGAATCCAGAAGCTGGCTGCCTGCTCCAACGGCCAGTATGGCCCACAATCTGGCACAGAGCCCAGAGCCCACAGTCTAGCATGGCTGCTCCAACGGCCAGTATGGCCCACAGTCTGGCACAGAGCCCAGAGCCCACAGTCTAGCAAGTGCGAGGTTTTGGAGCGTCTGAAGCGTCCATGGAGCGTCTGAAGCGTCCAGAATCCAGACGTATGGCACAACCATGGCAAGTGTCGAAGCGTTTGAGGGGTTTGAGGGGTTTTAGGGGTTTGAGGGGTTTGAGGCGGTTGAAGGGCAGTTTCGGGCCACTAGAAAAAAAGGATTTGGCGCGCCAGAGCCCCGAGCCCACAGCCTGCGCAACTCCGCCCACAGTCTCGCAGAGCCCAGAGCCCACAGTCTGGCAAGTGCGAGGTTTTGGAGCGTCTGAAGCGTCCAGAATCCAGAAGCTGGCTGCTCCAACGGCCAGTATGGCCCACAATCTGGCACAGAGCCCAGAGCCCACAGTCTAGCAAGTGCGAACTTTTGGCTCTTTTGCTTTCGGGCCCAGAAAAGTAAGGATTTGGAGAGCTCAGGTTCCACACCTTCGGTGGTCCCAGGCGCCGCCCCTGCCTTCGCCAGAGCAGGGGTCGGCGGACAAACAATGGCACTTCAAACACAAGGCAACCTTTCAAAAACATAAACGAATCATTATGCGAAAGATAGCAACATAATGCTGTTGTGTGAACCACCTGAAACATCCTAAAGCAAGCAGATCAATCAGATCGTTATCTTTTTGCGAATTGGTTGGCATTCTGTATTCGGATTCGATGCAGTCCACAGAGAGTCGGAACAAACGTATTGAAGATCCAAGACAGATGGGGTAACAGATCCAGACATGCATTATGCATCATGGAATTTTATCAGATGGCTTATTGGGTGTTGGTGGTGTTTGGTGCTACCATCCCGCCAGGATTGTTTTAATTCCCTGGCAGAACGCTTGGATGTCATCTCCGAAAGAATGGAGGCTGGGATGTGATGATTGAGAGTGTTTGCATGTGTTCTAGCGACGGCCTCCATCCTAAGGGCCATGGCCTCCCACCTACTAGCGATGGCCTCCAACCTACAGTACTAGCGATGGCCCAACCTACTAGTGATGGCCTCCAACCTCTATAGCGATGGCCTCCAACCTAGGAGCGATGGCCTTCCACCTACTTCATTGGCCTCCAACCTAAGAGCGACGGCCTCCCACCTACTAGCGATGGCCTCCAACCTAAGAGCTATGGCCTCCCACCTGAAAGCAATGGCCTCCAACCCAATCATGGACCTAATGACCATTATATTATGCTACCATTTGAATCCATTGTATGCCCGCGATAGGTCCTTGGTGTGAATGCAACATGTGTTTTTGTTCTGCTGCGTGGCAGCGCGGCAGCGCCCTCATCAATTGTTGGGTTGTCACCCTACCATGATTACCCTTTCCGCATGAAATTACACACACATTAGAGTTTTCGCACCCTGTCCAACTTATTACCGTGTTTTGGCTCTGCAGGAGCAGCCTGTGTCCCTCGATCCCCCGTTCGTGGATGAACCGCTGGCGCCGGTGGCGCGGCATGGCAGCGATGGCGGGGCGTCCCGCGCCTCGGGCGAATCTGCGATGTCCGCGGTCTCACTCGTGAGATCGGAGCCAGGCAGGGACACCTGGGATGAAAGGGTGGCTGGGATTGGCTGGGACGAAAGGGTAATTTTGCTGGTCACGTCTGATTTGTTCGCTGGCATGATGAAACCACGCCATATGGCAGAAGCCCCAATTGAATTCACGAGGACCGAATAAACCCAGAACCTCAACCTGTTCCACGTGTTGAGCCAGAGGCTGTGCGGGTCTTTTTAAATTGAACAGTGGGTGGTGGTAGTGAGTCATAATGAAAGCAATATTGCAGAACATCCACCCTTTTGTGGAAGGCTTTTTCTTCATAATTCCACACATACACAAACAGGCAACCTGTGCGTTGGTGGAGGACCAACCTGTGCAGGGGTGTTTTGCCAATCCAGAAACAGCCAGGATCCTTGGCATCTGAAGGTTCATTGGTGGATTTGAGGCGGGGCCGCCCGTTGTTTCAATGACTGGAGCCGACTGGAGCCTCTGTCACCTGGGCCCTGGTCTTCCGTCAACTTGGGGAGTCGCTATGGTGGTTCAATTAGAAACAAATTGGGTTAGTTCATTGCCATCTTGGAGTTCACACCACCAAAATGAAGTTTTTGGATGTGCAGCAACGGTGGGAAGCAGCAAAAGATGAACGACACCTGCACTTGGATGTTCCTTTTCCTCGTTTTTTAATCTACAGTATATCATCGCCTTGATCCACGCGTTGGCTGTATTTGATCTGGCCTTGGTGGATGTGGTGTACGGCGTGTACGGGATTGTGACACAGGCATACGTGCTGCTTGGCGATACGTGCTTTACTCACATCCACGTCAAGAATTTTGCCCAACCTTCGTCCGATGTTCCGAGTGGTGCGCTGTGGTGAGCCACCCTTCACCCAACACATCTAGTAAAACACGCGAGCTGAGGGAGAACCTGATAAACAGGGGGCTATACTTGGCTGTGCACAAACAAGGCGTTTCCGAAATCAGCCACTTGGCCCACCCACCCATCATCAGACCACGAGAGGTCAGATTCAGATGATGGCTTGTGCAGAGTTAATCCCATATTATAGGGATATGGTATGATATGGTCACAATAAGTATATAGGGATTATATCTGCATATTCATATGACGTTCTGAATTAAATTGCTTTTCATGATATCGACCTCCTGTGACTTTTTCGTTTTGCTGTCGACTGAAGATATTGCTTCAAAGGAGAATACACCCAGAAGGAGGGATCTGATTTCATTGCTCCAAAACTGAGACCATGAGAGATGTTCTGACCTTCTCTCCAACAAATAATAGAAGTGGACACTTCCCTGTTGGTTGAGGAGTATTTTTTCCAGAGCCCATATTCCACTTCCATGATGATTGGAGGGAGAGCTTCCCATGGGCAGTTTGTCACAAACCTGCCAGGACGGTGGATCCTGACGCAGTGACAGAAGGGGTGGAACAACCTCATGCCTCCAAAAAGGTGAAAGTCTGCATCCCGGAGGCGGAGCCGCGCAAAACCGCGGCGGAAGCCGCGGAAGCCGCTTCCGCCCGTGGCTCTATCGGAGTTTGGAAGTTTGGATTCGCTGTATCGGTGATTCGCTGTAGTAGAAGGATTAGACAGCGGTTCAAGCACAGGATACTTGTTCCGAATTTATTTTCAATGTTTTCTTTGCTAGTGCTGTGTGCCATCAAAACAGTTTAGCCCATTGTAGACAGAGGGTGATGTGTCCATGCTGCTGCAGCAGCTGCTGCTTGTTTGCCGCTAATGCTCGTGTGCTGCTGCATGCTGCTTGGCTGCTTCTGCTTGTGTGCTGCTTCTGTGCTGGTGCAGCATGTGTGTTGCTGTTGCTTCCACAATGTAATTGGAATGGTTTGATTAAACCAGATCAATCTGTTTGGATAACCTATAAACGCCTTGTAAACAAGAACCTGATGTGACCCTGATGTGACCCGGTCGCATCGGGCCACCACTCGGGGGTTAGCTCTTTTCCAGTCACCTGACGTAACAAAGGTTGACAGTACTTTTTGGATCTTCTTGGTGAATTGCTCGCGTCCAATCCCTAAGGAACCCTGGCCCTTTAACTTTTGTTCATGTCATGTCCGTTAAATGATCCCAGCTCACCTGCGACATGATTAACGTCCATCACGGTAGCTGAGCAGGCGCCCATGTTCGGCTTCCTTGTTTTGTTTCAATGAACATGGACCGACAACAATATCGAGGAGGTTTTTGGATCTATATTTGGTCAAATGGCTTTACATCAGTTTCATGCGGAGAAGAGGACAAACAAACACAATGTAACTGTATGAAATACTTGTTTCTGACAAATTGCAGAGCTGGTCCACACGACAGCCCTGTGAGACATGATCAATCGAACATTCACGGATCTATCGCAATGTGAGACTTAGAAGCGGTATCACAAGAACCTGCAGAGACCCTCCCCAATCGACCTGCAAGCCCCCTCTGTATCTCACCAAAGAATGTCTCCCACAGGTCGACGAACTTCAAACAGCCATGGACCACCTGGAAAAGTTTGTCCTTAACGCCACTGAGACCGCGCTGAAGAAATCCATGTTGCCCCTTGGCCATCCTTGGTCCTGGGTCTGAAGTCGCGAACAACGACCATGGCCTTCAACCTAGTAGAGATGGCCTCCAACCTAATTCATTTGAGACAAGTTCGGGTGGTCCGAGACTATGCCCCAGCCCCAAACAGGCAGGCCGGGCAACGTTGCCCGTTGGGGCCGGCAGTTTCTGTTTGGGATCCGCTGGGGATCCGCTGCGGGTGGGATCTGTGGAGCTGAGGATCATGGGTTCCAGCATCCGTCAGCGCTTGGGGACCGCTGTGGGCAGCTTCCCACTCTACCGGGAGCGATGGAAAACCATGGAAACCGACGGAGGGTGAAATGGAGGATCCGTTGTGTCTTTGTTTATCTTTTATTTTGAAATAAGATAAAATAAGACTAAGGCAGTGGGTCTAAACCAAACAACTCTCCATGAGGCCATGAATCATCATGGGAAATATGAAATATGTATGAAGTATTTGGGAAATATGACATCCTTGCAGGCCGGTTAGCCCTCGAAATCAGTGAAGAAGAATATTCAAACTTCCAGAGGATGTTGACACTTGGCAAGTGTCACACAGGTGCTTTAATATGTGTGCTTTGACAAGGAAAGTGACGCTACTAGGGGCTCCTGGCCTTACTACTAGGAGCAAGAAGCTACCAGGGGCTCCTGGCATCGCTACTAGGAACAAGGAAAGAATCGAATCGACCATCTCCTAGCAACGACGGGGCAAATCGTCTAAGGTTTTGCTCCCACTGAGGATGAAATACTGCCGTCCATCCAATCAGAAATATCAGAAGACATGCCCACGGGTCCGTCAAGAGTCTCTACATCTACATGTCTTCAATATTAGCAAGATAGAATGGTAGGTATGCCTGTCACAGCTGCTGCTGTTGCTGCTGACAGTGATGCTAGTGACAGTGGTGTTTTTACTGCCGCAGGTGGACCAGTCAACACGTTGCTATCCAAAAGACGGGTTCATGTTGGTTTGCACGGTGTCTGCATCAGGAGCGAAGCCGAGTTGGAGACTTACCTAGCAAGAGGCGCAAGTATCGCCAGGCGGATCGCATAGGGAGCATGTGTGGGAGTCGAGAGGTTTGCAGTTACAATTTTGTCACATTTTGTCGAATCACAAAGCGAAACAAGCTCGTCGCAGATAGAGGAAGCGGTGAGTGTTGTGGATTCTTGTGATATTGGTTGTCCCGTAGTGTCGTAGTGAAGTGAATTCAATTAGGTTGTTGGCCATCGCTTCTAGGCTGAAGGCCATCGCTGGAGGCCATCGCTAGTAGGTTGGAGGCCAAATAGAGTACATAAATTCAATTAGTAGCACATCCGATCACATCACCCAAGCCCCAAGAGATTTGTGACTCGCCGATGCTCGGGCGAGTCACTCTTTGTCCGTCACGCGGGAGTCACGGCGTCGCTAGATGGCCAGCGAACTTAGACTTTTGTTGCGGGGTTTACTTGTGAATTGCTGACATCAATGAGATATGGGCACAAGGGGGTCATATCAGCCATATCCATCGTTACCTTACAAATCCTCGTGCTGTGTTTTGGGAGTTAGATGATTGGAGTCACGGTCGTTGTTGTGTCGCTGCCTTCCTAAGATGCCCATGTACTCCCAACCAACTTGGCTCACACTTCACACCGCACAAAATCTGGCTGTTTACCTTAAATCATCTTAATGATCAGCAAACAGTTGTTACAGAGCGTTGTGAACTCTTCATGTTGAACAGTAAGAGCCCGTTCCTCCTCCTTTGGGGTGAGCTGTCGCTGTTGCCAAAACACTCCCAGACATGAGGTGCTGCTGTTTTTTTGCAGGAGAAGATAGGGTCGACGGAAGGGTAGGGGTGACTCAGGTCTGGCGGGAAGATTGTCAATCGTTTGTTGAACCAAGCTCAAGGTGTTCAAAGCTGAGGTGTCACAATGTGTCATAGCTACTGTACCAGTGTCTCAGAATTTCAGGGCCTGTTACTTACCTGGCACCTCCTGAAGATATCCGTCCATCTGAGACACATGTCTTGGGACTCTAACGGAACGCCTGTTTGGAAGGTCTACTCTTTTTGGTCTGAATTTTGTCTTCAGAAATCATGAGAAATCCTCTCAAGTCAAATCACGTCTTCTACCTGAAATCAAGTTGTGTTGCTTTGAGCAGACCAAGAGCAAGACTTGAGTACTTGAGTTTTTTTCCCTCTCTCTCTATATTATCATATAATCATACACACACCTCCACACCAGAGTAGTTACAGTAAGGGTTTGGATATGTTTTTTCCGAAGCTGTTCAGCCAAAATGCATCCTATACTAATATGGCTAAAGCCAGTGCAGAGCCAACAAGTCACTTTTGCAGCAGCACTATCCCAGGGAAGATGGACCATGCATTATGCGTTTTATTGCGTTTTGCGTCTTTTTTCCAAACTATTTGGATTTACCGGTTTTGACTAATAACTGAGTGTCGGATTTCTTGCCTTCAAGCGTGGCAGCCTGACACAGGAATTGCTAGTGTACCCTGTGTAGTATTAGGATAGGGAGATATAGGGAGACCCCAACGAACCCTGGTAAAGGGACACATCAACAAAAACTAAAACCCATCCGAGTGCCGAGTGGATCCCAGTTTCCACAGTGCAATGAAACCAGATGAAACCAGGGAAGCACTTTAGGTTTACGTGTCTAGTCTGTGGATGGCTGTGGTTCCTCCCAATCGTCGCCGGGACAGTCGCCGGGACCGTCGACTCGTCGCCTCTTCCTTCGGGTCGCTGAGACCGGAAGTCGAATCTGCCAAGGTCTATGTCGAAGTCTGCCTCTTCTAGCTGGGCCATGGCTGCCATGGGGCCCTCACAGTCGACGAACAGCGCGCGTCCCGAGTGGGTCGACGAGCAGTCGCTGCACGACACGACGAGATGAGGATGAATCACCGAAGTCAAGCTGCGAGGTGGAAGACCGTCTACATTAGTGAAATCGGTATTTGAGCATGTTATTAAAATGCCTATTCTATATCTATAATTGCAGCGAACCCCCTTTTTGTTGGACTGATTTCTTAAGTTATGATGTTGTAATATCACTTCTCTAACTTTTCATCATTCAGATTCAGATTCAGCTGTTTCCCAAGTCTCAGTGATTTCACCATTTGGAACGGAGTATTGACGGAGTATACAGATATGATATATAGGGTTTAGTGTTTAATCCTGTACGTTAAGATTGTGCTCCAGGTATTATTTTTTACAAGTGATGCGACACGTTGCGGAAATAGGGCAGGAGTTGTGTTGGGGCAGCCGTGGTCTCACCATCGAGTGCCAGCCAGATGATTTGTGTCTTCTCTCTATGATGACAGGGTTGTTGTCCTTTGACTGCTTGGTAGAAAAGGCCCAGAGAACATCCAACAATGGGATTTCTCTTTGATTGGCGTATCATATCCTTCTTTTCATCAGCTGGTATTAGATATTATATTTTGCACAGACAGGTGTGGAATCCACGACGCAGTGTCTTTGTCGAGGCTTTCTTCACCACTGGCTGCCTGCTTTCCCCTAGGGTAGAACAAGTCCAGTGTCTTATTAGTGGGAGTGTTGCTCCCGAGAACCCTCCAAAGCATTTCAAGCGCATTTGGAAGAGTAAGATCTGCAATCCTTGCCAAACCAGGAACATAACTGCACATATGGAGTTTCCATGAGCTTCCCCTTTGCTGGAACCTTTCTCCTGGCAAGCACTTACTGTAATTTCAGGAGTTTTCCTTTAAACCTCCTGTGCATCACAGCCTCTTGAGCCATATTTTCGCTCACAGCCATGATCTTCGGATCTCCTGGACTTGGGATGAGGCCATGCCTTCAGCAAGCCCCGTGGCACACGGGGCATCTCCAAGGCCCAGCACGTGCGACGACACGGCTGCGGAAGAAACGTGTTGACCGGGTCCAGCACGGGGTCCTTCTTCTTAACAAACAATGCTAGTAGTAACAAGTGCCACGCTAGTAGTAACAAGTGCCTTACTAGTAGTAACAATGTTTGCTATTAGAATTAAAATTAATTGCTTTTTGATTCTCTCCAGGATGGCGCAAGGAATCGACCCTCTGATTCTCTCTCCAAAGTGCCAGTGGATGTGGTTCAGCGTGGGATGGATGTTCGTCTTGACTCAAGTTGAAAGTGGGATCGTCGAGGGGAGGATGTATCCCACGTTCCACCAAGCCGGGTGTATCTGAAAGCTATCGCCCGCTATTCATTGAGGCCGTACGATACATGGCCAGATCGCTCCAGCTGTTTGGGGAAGAAAAAGTGAGTTCAGTGATCAAACTAACAAAGAGAGAAGTGATCTATCACCACCATTCCAGAGCTACAAGATGCCACAAGCACCACTAGCACAAACCCAATAACCCAATTGCCGATTCGCACCGTTCGCCTACATCTCCACGCATTCCACTTGGTGTCGCCCTTTTTTAAAGGGCCGTGTCCGCCTCTGTTTTCCCCGCGAGGACACCACCCGGCCTCTGCCCATCGGCTCCTTTGCGCCTCCCAAGAGCGAGGCCGACGATCGGACGATCGGCCGTGTCGGAATTTTACCATGAACCAATGAACCAATGTTTATGGTAAAAAAAATGTTTATCACGATGTTTAAGATGTTTAAAGAATGCAATGGTTGTTTTGTGTCATGAACATTCATTGGATGTTTGATGATGTTTGAGATGTCTACTGTCTGCATGTTAATATCTCTATATATGTATACACACACCTCATTCAGCAACATGTTTTTTTACATTTTCCTTCGGCCTCAGGGGAATTGGTGTTTGGAATAACGGACTCTTTCGCAAAACCATTACAAGGGTCACCCTTTTCCAAGAAGTTTCTTGACGTGTTGAACTTCCTCAATTTTGTAAGGCTTATTCACCCTTCCACGCGACAGGAACTGTCCAAACCGTCCGCACAGGCGCGTTCGGCGGATGGGACCTGATGTCACAACGGGCTGAGGAACATGGGTTTGCCGGTCCATTTTCATGGTCCATCTTCATGCTCCCTGCACTTGCTTCAAGAACTTCAAGCAAAGGATGGCAAACCTGCGCAGCTTGGTCATGAGTGACACGGGTATTCCTGACCATTCTTCTTAGTTGACAAGGATGACACGGAGATTCACTTGGGATTTACGAGTATTCAAGGAAGCATACAAACGTCTTCAGGCGCCTGTGGCGGACATGTCAAAACATGTCAAAAACAGCCGTGAGCTGTTCCAGCCGTTCCAGTATATTTTTTTGGTGAGGGGGTTTGAGGGGGGCGTGGGGCTAATTCCGACACGTTTTTAAACGTCTGGCCGTTTTGGTTTTATAAGCGGGTCAATGACCAACACGACCAGATGTTTTTGTGTTGTTGGAAAATCCGGGATGTATAGAGACACAGACTCAGAGACACACAAACACAGAAAGACATACTCATCTCCAGCTTTCGTACAAGTCTCCCGCCAGTGGAGTCAATTCAGGAGATCGATAGGGAGGACTTTTGCGAAGAGCAGTATGCGTTGCAGCTTCGCCGAGCTCTTTGCCCAAAGTTGACCAAGATTGCAGGAACACGGTGTATCGAGGCGTTCGGGGAGCGCTGAAGCGCTTCATGCAGAAGCAATTCAAGAGATAAGAAAAAGAAGGGCTTCAGTGAGTGAATCCCACACTGGACCGGCGTGTGTACCAGTGGAGGAATTTGTAGTCAGATCGTGATGTCACAGAACAAGAGTTCCTGGAGCACCCGGCGAAGGCATGTTGTGGAAGCGAAACACATCGCCATTAATAAAGAGATGGCAGGTGGGAAACACCAGAAAACTAAATGAATGTGCTCCCACTTGATACCCTGCACCGCCATGGTAAGCCATGGTGAATCGTGCGTCGAATGCTTGTGGGTCTTGGTGTTTTTGGATCCTGATCAGTTCCCAAATCTGTGTGCACATAGATGTTTTGTGATATTTTGTTTAAATATATAAAGTGAGGACACTCCGCAGATCAAGCAACCACATAAGAGGCACGCGATGTTTGAATCTGCTGCTTTTCTGTTCTAGCTTTAGAACTTTAGGAGCCATGTATCGACTGACTCTGATTCAACACCTTCAGGTGCCACGCCACGGCGCATTCGATTGTTCGTTTTCTTTTGTCCGTCGCTGCTGTTTTTTATTGATTTTGTTTTTGTGAACCAGCGCCAGGTCGCATCAGTTTCATCCAAAGTGAAGACACTGAGAACACGACGCTCCCAAAGTTTCTGAACACGACCAGTGCAGGCTAGGCCGACTCACCAGCAACTGAGAGATACCAACACAGAGTTTTACATCTGAGAAAGGCACCCGTTCAACAATGAATCGGCACTTTTTTTTTCAAGTGATTAGGTTCCCATGTCAATATTTGGCTTTCCGCTTGTCCTTGGGATGGTTTTCTCAAATGTTTGCCTGTGTCCCTCTCGTCCTTTTCCTGGCATACTGCAGCCTGTCTTGTCCTGTCGCTGCTGATGTTTTGCCGTCCGTGGTATATATAACTATGTAAGTACTGTATAATGTATCGTCCAGAACATAATAACTATGTATACAACTAATGTTGCTGAATTGAGGATTCAGGATCGTCCAGATCGCCATTCCGAGCTTCACATCCGACCGTCCAAGTTCCGAAGTGAGCTACATCCGAAGTTAGCCCCAGTCCACGGGTCGCTTGTTCATTGTGGCCTATTCAAGAAGTCCCTGCGTGGTTTATATACTGTATACATATAGATATATCATAAATCTATATTATATATATACACCTCTATATACATATGCAGAAGGAAAATTTTATATTGATACTGATACTGATACTGTTGATTTCAATACATCTTCTCAAAATCACTGTGGTTGGAAGCATTGACTTTGATGGTTGTCCCCTTGTAACATCACTTGTCTCGTGCTTGGTAATACAGTATCTATATATATATATGTATATGTATACGTCTATATGTCAACCATACACACAACATCCCTTCTCCAGCACAGTTCTGAGCCTAAGATACCACAGTTCTCGCAGCGTCCTGGGTACCTCGGATGTACCCGAGTGTCACACAAAGGCCAGTGTGAATTGGTGGAGACTTGTCCTCAGTGTCCCAAATGTTCCCTATCAACAAACCGTCAATGGTTCAAATGCCAGACCTTTGGCGATCTAGCTGCTGGACAAAGAAACACTACTGTAGGCGGGTGGTAAACCAAAGAGCTGTTTCAAAGCAATCACTGATTGGCCCTCACCAGCTGCTATGGAGCTCTGAGAGGATTGCCATTTCCCAACTCAGATGTCACACCCGCTCGCTGGAGGAGACCAAAACCTTGATGCAGGCATATGCAGGCATCCAGATCACTCACTTAGTGGTAACTACTGTAACTGGCATTTTTGTTGGGGTGCGTTTTGCTGACAACATCTCTTCAGTTGCAGATGGAGAGAGAAGCTTGAGCCTTCTTCATTAAATTCCATGGTGTATATAGGTCTACCTTCGCGCGCACCTGGAAAGCGATTTGACTCCAGTGTGCTTCCGCGCATGTTTCTTTAGTGCAAACAACCAGGGGCGCTCGGATAGTGTGGGTGCAGTGTCGGATGAATGATTGCATATTCTAGCCCCTAACGAGGTTCACTTGCCCATCCTGAACTTCATCAGCTAGCAACACCTCGAGGCGTTGTTTTGAAGAGGAAACATGAACACGTCATGTGATGTCAAGGGCCAGTCGTGATCATCCCTGGGTCAAAGCCATGACGTCCATTGGTTGGATCGCATTGGTTGTCATGGGGGTTGAACTTTTCAATGTTGCCAGGATGGATCTTGTGGTTTGAACCGAAGCCAGTGCCAATAGCATTGGGTAGACACTGGCAAGACATATATTTATACTAAATACATAAGTAAATAAATAAATACATACGAAATATATATATATATATATACAAGCTGGGTGGACAAGCACAAGGCTCCATGGATACAATACCACCAGTTGTCTATGGCCCAAAGGCTTGTTGGTTCCTGAAAACAAGGATGATGTCACGAAGGCTCAGGAGACTTAAGTGGGCTAGTCAATCCTTGCAGAATAAGTTCAGATAAGTTCAGGTGCAGACATTTGGGCTGTCGCCTCATGGTGTGACCAGATGGGCCCATCAAGTTCAAAACCCATTTTCCAAGCAGACCCAGTGGTCACCGTGATGTCGGCTTCGAAGAGATGGGTTCGTGACGAGCGGAGCTTTCAGTTTGGGCATGTCAGCATGGGAATACTTTCCTCACAATGGACAAGGCTGTCGGTATGTATGTTTGAGAGGACCCTGCACCGCTTGCTTGTTATGCGCGTCAACACAGGCAGGCACTCGATGAACTGAACAAGTAAATGAACATATCATCTTCCAAGTAAACTTGCATTGTGGATCATCATGGTGGGAACCTTGGAGAAACGACCTTCTTGCAAAGCTGTGCGCCCATCTCTATTGAAGCTTTCCAGTTGCACCGGGCAGAGCCAGCCCAAGGCTGCGCAAGTTGTTCGGTGTTTGGCCTCTGAACCACAGGAGACTGAGGTAAGGGCATCATTTCTTGAACTGGCATCGTGCCCAAAGTGTGATCAAGACTGATGAACAACTATCATTGTGAGCAGTTCCGAGTATATCTTCTGCATGCTCAGAGCAGCATATTCCGGCGATGTTACCGCCGAACTCATCGAACGTGTTCTACGCCACTTGCCACGTTCGCTCGCCGTGCGAGGATCAAAGATGGATCGACGTACCGGTCGACGCGTTGACTCGGTCGATAGGGTGCGAGGTGAACGTCCTTTGTGACCCCACCAAAGATGGAGTTCCGAGCATCTGAGCATGAGTGAAGAACAGCCAAAAAAAAGCATGGATCCAGTTTCGAGCAATGGGAGAAGATGATGAAAGGCACTGTGTGAAAATCAGTTTGATGTCGAGCTGTTGGGTGACTTTGGGTCATAGAACCTCAGCCAAAACTTGGCCCAGATGTCTGGACCTTGCAGAGCTCATTGAGCTCGTTGAAGGCCTCCCAAAGATTTCCAACACCTCCAGTAAGTAGGCAACCAAGAATATAGCAGGAACTCAGCGATTGAGCCGGGTGAGCAGCAAGAGAGCAACAGGTTGATAGATATTGATGGCGAACTCCCCTTGAACACCAAGATCCTAAATGCAGCTAAGATATTGTGTTAGCCCTTTGCCGCCGTGAAAACAATGTGGGAGTGAATGAAGGGTCAAAGCCGGGTCCAGAACTCTTCAATCTGTGAAACACCAGAGCTGTTGGGCCTAGACTCACTTGTCACCAGTTTCATCCAGTGTCCACGCACTTAGGGGTCGGGTGCAATTTCTTTGGCTCTTATTAGTTGGGGGTAGTGTGGGGGGTGTATTACTGCTTGCTGACCTGCAGATCCTGGCCCCGTCGTTGTAGAGGGATTGGATAGCTCTTATCAGTACATTCTTGATCCTGGGAGAACTTGGCTGAACGTAATGCGACGTGGTTCTGTGAGAGTTCATTCATCCATGTCAGGAGTCCGGAGCTCTTTGGATCCTCATAAGCTGGACTCCCACCATTCTGCATACCCCCCTCCAAGTGTTCAGCAGAGCTTGAATCTGAATGTGGGGTGGTGCAACTGACTTCTGGATCCATGCCTCAGTGTCAACCCAACCTCCGATGCAGCTCCGCAGCAGTTTCCCGGCCTTATCCGCGCCGCCGTGCCGGCCAACGTGCGGGTTGGGGCGTCCACCCAGACTCGGGAAGCACGGCCCTGAGAAGGCCGGCAGTGGGCGATCGAGATGTAGTAAGGAGGTGCTTGCGCAGGTAGAATCTCCAGGTTTTGATATGGATATTGTATGTATCGTTCAATTATACAAAGTGTTTCTCTCCTCTCCTTGCAGACACCTGTCTTGAATAATATATTCTTCCCAAGACCAAACAAACAGACACACACAACGTTCATACGACAGCCTCCTTTGTTGGAGTGGTCGTTGGTTCTTCGACGTCAGACGCCCATGGACCCCCCCCTGCTGACGAGGCCGACGCCTCTGTTTTGAGGGAGCAACAAAACCATGATCAGCTCGCGTTGGGGGAATCAATCAAAGAACTCTATGCATGCATATCTAATATATATATATATATATATTATAGTTCTCATGTGTCCATATTTGTCCTGTCCTGTTGTTTGTTTTACATTGTCTTGGGATGTTTGTGGGTGGATGCTGTAGCCATTTGTTTTAAAGTTAACGTTTTAGCATGCTTTCATGGCGATTCCCTGTTTAAGTTGTATGGAGCGCCCTGCATTCAGCCCGCTTCAGTTCGTGCTCAGAGTCTCTCGACTCGCAGGAGCTCATCGTGGCCGTGCCATGCCTTTGGGGCCACTTCCACCGATCCAGTCGGAGGGCGAGAGTATAAGCACCAGGCAATCCATGGCCGATGTTGCTCGAGCTTTAGAGTACATGCGAACAGCTTACAACATATGTATATAGTATATATATAGTTATATAGTGTGTATATATATAGCGAATACAAGGGATGCAAACGGATACTTGATATTTGGATAATTTTCGGGGATCAGCAAATCACACACTTAGAAGGGTGCTCGTAAGAGCATAGCTCAACGTATGTCAGTTGTGCATTAGCCCTTGACTGCATTTGACTGCATTAGCCGTTTACAGCAAAACACGGCAGGAGAACAGCGTAAACTCTAAAGAGAAAACCATGAATAAAGAATGAGAGAGGGAGAGAGAGTGAAACGTTGAAATGCAGCGAGACAAGCAGGTGCGTTTGCACAGGAAATGTGCAGGGTCTTCGCTGGCCGCTGACTGCAGCAATCCCCAGCTGCCCCCATAGGTATATGTTACATGGCTTGACACACGCACACTTTTTCGAGACTATCCACCATGCTTCCCACTTTCTAGTGTTCTCATGGCTATGGTAAGTGTGTGTGTGTTACCTGTATTTTCATCGATTCTCCTCGATTTTGACTTCTCGGCCGCTTCTTGCACAGAGCACTGAAGCCGACCACGGAGTCCGAGTGTCACCAGGCACGAGGTCTCCTACTCCCTGGGCTTAAGCGAAGAAGTGGGAAGGCCTGGCGGGGCCCGAGAAAACCATGTGTAGTGTGATGTACTTGGTCTTGGAGAATCATAAACCACCACATGTGGAAATTAAGACTCAAAGACTCAAAGACCGAAAATCCTAGCAGTTGTGTTCCTGTCCGATGGTGTTCATGATATTTCAGCCATGACCCACACCGGAATTGTGGAGGGGTTGTGACTAACAGACCAACATAGCCTTCATCTCACAGCTGCTTCTTAGTGGAGAGATACATGAAACATCATGAAACCCAGGCTTCGATTTCAAGGTCGATGCTCGCTTATTCTTGGCACCATTTACACGTCAAGATCCGTGAAATTGACTCGCCAGTTCCAGAGTAGGGCCGGGGAAGAATCTGGGCAAAGAAGTGGGGTTGAACAAAAAGGTTTGCATTTTGGAACCTCGCCATTCACCATCTGATATCCTAGTCCATCTACTGATTGTATCATGAAGGCTGGTGCAAGTTTGTTGCTGACTTGAACGGATCACGTGATCAAATCTCGAAATCGTACTCGTGGAACATTGAGTTTGTTCAATCCAGAGAGAAACATCAATATAAGAGGCAGAGAATCCAATGTTAATCAGATCATCTAACCTGTTCTGGGGTGCGCAGTTTGCTACAGAGAATCATTGGCGACTGGGTGCAGAACCTGCCTGATGTTCAGGAACCATTTCTGGGGTCGGCATAGAAATGAGGTGGTGATTCGAGCTAGCAGCTAGTGGGCTTGCTCGAGATTACTTGGTTGCCTTTGTTGATGGTTGAAGAGTATTGGGGGGCTCATTTCATGGAGAGGCAGCCGCATCAAAAGTTATCTCCATTTGGAGCCCCTAACTTAAACCGAAGAATTTGGTAAGGTACTGTACTGATGCATCAGTACTGTACTTTCATTTGGAGACATACTTTATTATATATATACGCATTTGGAGACCATGTTTTAACGATCCAGATTGCCGCCTCCTGTAACTATTGTAGCAACATGCCTAATTTGTAGGGTTTGGAAGATCATGCACGCGTTCTTTGACAAGTCATGGCTTTGGTTTGTAAGGACTTGACTATTCACCCGTCCTTCACCAAAGAATGATGTTTGATCTGAATGTTTTATGCATTCAGCAAAGAGCTTGAACTCTTGACCGGCCAGTCATGTCACAAAAAGAAGTGAAGATTCCCCTGCTCAAGCCTGAAACGTGTTGCTCTCCAACCCCAACAATTGCCATGTTGCTTTTTGTGATGAGGGTGGACGGTTCTGAAGTCGATGGAGGTTGCTCATGGACCAAAGAATCGGATCCCAAAGCTAGCAGCGCCTTTGAAAGGGTTGCTTTTCGATGGCAAATATGGACTATGGATGATAGCACGGTTCTACCAATCACCTTTCACTGGGAAGTTCTCCCCCCTGTTTGGTCCAAACGCGTTAACAGTCGTTGTCCCATGTGTTCGCGTGCCATGCCATCCGGGTTGGGACCGAAAGAAGGAGCGAAGGCAAGAAGCTCTCGGCCTTTTCAGAGCGACGTTCCATTTCTCATTCCTCAAGCAGGACCGGCGGCTACTAGGAGCAAGGACGCTACTAGTAGCTCCTGGCCTTACTACTAGGAACATGAAGCTGCTAGTAGCAAAGGGCATCGCTACTAAGTAGGACATAGGACCGGCGGCACCAATCCGAAGAAGTTTCCACTCCGAAACCATCCGACTCAATGCGAATGCGTTTGCGGCAAGTACGGCTTCGATCGCGGCAAATGTAATAGGCCATGTGCGTGTGTTGTTGGAAGCAGTGGTGAGGTGCGGGCCTGGCCCTGAAGTCTGTTCTGCATACCCCTCGCATACTGTTGAATATTATTCTTGTATTCAAAATAAGGGGAACACATATATTTTAAAAATATGCTTGCCCATTTGGTGGGTATAGCCTAAGCAAATCCTTGATTGAAGTAGTGTGTGCCAGTGCGTTGAGTTTCTGAACAGCAGAACATTTCAGAAAAAGTCGTTAGGACCCTCTATTTCCAAGGAAGCTCAAGATGGGAATCAACGAATCTTCTCATCCAGGAGAGATGTCATTTTGTCAAGGAGGGGCCCCATGATGTCCCTCTTTGGTGGGCACCCATCGGTGTGCAAAGTGATGTCGCTCGATGTTGCTCCTCCAAAGCTGTGTGCTTCCGTCGCTCATCCAGGAAGACCGTTGTGGACCCCAAGAGCGGCTTGAGCGGGAACTTCATCAAGGCCAAGTCTACCCAGGGCTTTGAGGTCGCTTGGTGAAAGCATATTTGTTTTTGTCCTGTTCAGTGTCGCTTTCTGTCGGTTGAATCTTCAATTCACGCCATTGGCGGACACCTAAGGGCTGTACCTGAACATCGAGTGAAGAGATCTAGATACGGTTTGAGTTATGCTGTCTGGTTTGGGTACACAAGTTGAGCGAAGAGGGGTAGTTCGAAAGGACGGTTACCATGAAGCGGAAGGGCTGGAGTCGTTCTATTGGTCACAGACCCGGTGCTTGGAGGCAAGTTAGAGTGCTCAATTCGCCTATGGATGGCAGCCTGGGGTGAAGGTTGGCGTTGTGGGCACCGCAAGTTTGGGGTTGCCGAGCTGTTCCAAATCGACCAACAAACCATTGTAGGTTGCAACATGTTGGGTAAACGGGTGGGTTTGCCCCCGCTGCAACATGCAGAGGGTCAGAACACCCTGCGTTTTACAGGGTTTCGTGGGTTTCCGGACACTCAACTTATCGTCTTGGAATTCACTAGTCACTATTCCAAGACGATAAGTTGAGTGCCTTTTGAAGACCATTCAGTCCAGTCCCCGGATCCCACCTGCTCCATGATCTGCATCTGAAGGCACCTTTTCTCTACATGCCAGATCTCAGTCTTGTTCCCAACTGAGCCATGACAGCTCACTGTACATTTGAGCTGGCGGACAAGTGTCTTGCACAGCTTCTCTATGTATTCTCACAGCCTCGAGCATTGAGTCCAACCCTGGATGTTGGCTGAACCACCAAGCTGGGAGGCCTTCAACGTGCTCTCGTTGCAGCTTTACATCGCAACGCCCAAGAATACCCAAGTAGTCCCGCGAATGACACGTCACCAAATAGTAGTAACACGGACGAAGCTGACCCCAACATGCTGCAACCTTTGATTCAGCAGATGTTAGAGTTGGTCAGGTCCTTTCAGTCATTTTATGCTATATCATGCTATATCCTTTCTGGCTATGGTGCCCGAAGCAGTCATCCCATGGGGACTGGCCGACGTGATTTGGGACCGACTGGCCCATCAGAAGTAGACTCGACTCGTGTTACTGGTTGACATGACTGAACACTTTGTCAAAAGCTCTCATCCACTCTGTTTACGAGGCCCTCTATAGACAGCCCTCGATAGACCCAATTTCCCCTGGTTGAAAGCACCAATGTTGTGCTAACACTTCAAGACGCGAAGACATCCTCAGCCTTTTGCCAGGCTTTTGTTACTGCTCAGGTGGATACTGATCGCGAGAGTTACACAAGTCGATTGAAGAAATCTGTCAAGCGTGACTCGACCAGATGGCGGAGCTCAAACTGTACGGGATGAGGATGAAGGGCACCTTTTTGGAAACTCAGGAACCCTGGGACCATTGTGTCTGACATGTTGGCGTTCTTGCAAGTTCTTCTCAGGCCCTGACCTGTTTGGAGTCTTTTAGAAGTTGGTGCTCTGGCTTGGCGGGGGCGGGGGCTGTGGATGGAGCTCATTTTGTTGGCAAGTATATAGCATTCGGCTGAATGAAATAGGATGGATTCCATCACATTCATTCTGGCAAGCGGGACTTACAGTAACACCCGACGTTCGTCCCATTTTCAATTGGAAAAAACACCTGTACGTTCGCCCTCCTTCATGCATGCAGCCTGCAAACTCCTGCATCCAGCCTTTCCCCAGAGTTCATGCCAAGGCACTCGCTTCGGCAAATTGGGAATTCAGCATGATTATTTTCAGATTAGTATTTTTTTGTGGGACGTTCATGGATAGGCTATTTGCTTTACAGGATGACAGCACTATGCATTCCAACTGTTCTCTCTGGTTGTTGATGCAACAAAATGATTTATGGATCCCACCCAGTGGTGGTTGCCCCTGTCCCGAGCCCTGTGCCTTTCGTGCCTTGAAGGGAGCAGCTGAACAACATTGAATTTAACTTTAACCAAATAGATTTATATATCAATTTTCATATTATACCAGGACTTCTTTAAAGTGACCTTTTTGCACTCTCTAAGTGACTTCATCCAATCTCAAAAGGTCTCTTTGAAGATCCTGGTATTAATTTATACACCATAAATAATATAATATATATATATTATGCAGCAATATACCATTTCCCATGGCATGTCGCCAAGCAATCTCAATTCTCTAACCACCCACCCTTCATTCGGGCTTCAAACTTTGCGCCAGTTGGGCTTATGAACGGTGCTATAAACCAGCACCTTGCCCTCACTGTCCAGTTCCCACACAACAAGCACAACATGCGTGCTTCTTGTAAGTATTTGTAAGAATTTGTACGAGTAATCCATGCACGCACCGAGCACGAGGTTTTCAGAAGAGCAAAGCCTTCTCGAACTTCATGGTTTTCGTGGTGCTCTTCGACGCTTACTGCACCTGCCGGGACATCGACGCTCGCGCCTCATACTTTTCTCCGACACCGTCAGATGCGCCGCAGATGCTCATGGTCTTGGCCGATGTTTGTTCTTTGGTCAAAGTGCTGTGCTGGGTCACGGGGCGCTGCTTGTGCTCATAGTGGAGGCCCCTCTGAACTGTACAGAACAATGTGGTGACAATCAATTCAACCAGAACTAGAAAGGTTCTAAACTCTAAATGTGAATCTCCGGTCGCATGCATGCTGTTGGAAGTTGGCTAGTAGTCTTTCAAGCAATGTGCAGGAGGGAATCGTTTGGGGCAAATCTTCGAGGCGCAGCTGAACGAATTAATCCAGCAAATACCAAGTACTTCAACGAAGGTCTCCTGGAATGCGGCGTTTGTCGGAGGCTGAACCGTATCCGTATCCCTGATGGACTCAAAAAGCCATGATCTGAGAAGCGTCCAGCGGGGAAGCATTGGAGCTCAAAATTCAGAGCCGCAAGAAATACCGGTTTCAGAATCCTAGCTGCCCGGAAGCCAGGTTTTGCAGTGGGATTCCTGTATCCACTGAGCATAATCGTAGGCTTGTAAGAGGAACTTCCTTCGAGGAATCTACATATTATATAATGTATATACATATATAATGATATATATATATACATATGCTGATTCTTTATCACATTCTTTGTTTCGTCGTGTGCGAAGCTTCAGAGCTGCGACGGACACAGATTGAGTGATATATGCTTTGGGTTCTCTCCAAATAACATCCAGTAACATCCTAAGTTCGATTCTTTGGTTTCCCTCGCTGCGACTGGTAATCCCAAACGAAACACCACTGACTTGGAATACTTCCCAGCCACCCACGAATCACCGAGCATCACCAAGACGACTCAGACAACCGAAACTCGGCGCGCGCTGCGGATCTCTACGATGAGAATCGAGATCACCGCAAGAAAAAACAAGACTCACGAGGTTTGCTGATGTACACCCTGGAGTTGGCATTGAACTTCTGGGTGCAAGGACCGCTTCTGGGTGAAAGGGACTGCCAATTCTGTTGGTAGGCTGGATCCGTTGTGTGTTGGGAGATGCTTTGAGGGATTCGGTTCGTAGCATAGGTGAGAGACCAAATCACTGGCCAAATCCTCCCGAGTCCTTCCCGATCCATGAACCCAAAAGGTCAGCACTTCTTCCAACATGGTCTTTGGATGTCTTTGGATTATATTGGCTCATTCTGTGATTTGTTCGCAAGTTTTGCTGGCAATTGAGTCCTGAAATAACCCGTCCCAGGTGGACCAAGTGAAGCTTCACTTCAATTCACTTCAATTTCTTGCTACCAGTTAAACTCAACATTGTAGAGATGTTCGCCCTCAAACTTCCAGGATGGAAGCTCTTGAAAGACTGGATGGTCCTTTTGGATGTGGCCCAGCTGCGGGTGGCACCTTTTTGGGGGGCAGATGTGAAGGGGGCTAGGGCTATATATAGCGTATATAGTATTATATGGTCCCTTTCACGCACTATCCTGTCGAAAGATGAGGCAAAAACACAGGTGCTTTTCTTCGTGCATGGACCGTTTCTGACTTGCCGCCAAAGACCACGGCCAAATCCAAAGTTTTGCGCCCACCGCCCACCACAAAATTTGCACATCGAGGTAGTACAACAGTTCTCATTCCCTGCACCGGCCTTTAAAAGGCAACTTAACATCGACCAAACCATGGGATTCTCCTGCCCTGCCACGGAAAGTGACCACATGTGACCACAAAGTCCCATAATGTGCATGGTACCGCAATACATGTCAATATACAGTATGTTCGGTGCACGGATTTGAATTGTGACATAGTGTTTGCATGCACGCATAAATTCAAGCTTGCAAACCAAGTTAGGCAAGACTTGTTTCTCTTTATTTTCCACGGGGCCACCTTTCGGCTCAGTTTGGTTCGTCCCTGGAACAGTCAGCCACGAACCAGTGGGGTTCCCACATCCCCGGGAAGGCATGAACTAGTCTGCAGTATATGAAACAGATCGGCATCCACATGATGAATATTTCAGCAGATGTCGAATGATAATAATCATCCTGTGCAGCCTCACGACCTGTGCAGCCTTTTCTTCCGGAAGATTTGGCTGTTTTAATACCTGGGAAAAGCTGATCCGGTGCGACCTCACGTGGGCGACTTCGCGACCGCTACCAGCAACGACTAAGATGGCGATCATCCTTTGTGGCTACATAGCGGCTTGCTGTCAATGGAAGGGATAACAGATCCATCCAATAAAATGCGATCCGATTTCGGGCAAAAGCGGAACAGATCCAATTCGGCCTGCATTGCAAGCATGTGATGGTTGTATAGATTTTGCAGTTTGGCAAGATCCTGATTTCGCCTTATACTTATACCAAATTGCAAGAACCCTACGACACAGCGGTGGTTAGGAACTTGGGAAGTTTTTAGGATTTGCCAGCAATCTTCAGGATCCCTCCCTCCTTCCGATCCTTTTGATTTCAGCCATCCTGAAAAACAATGCCAGTGGTGCAAATCATGGGCCATTATGGGCCATATGGTTGGTCTATTTGTCCGACATTTGTTGTACGGTTTGATATTAATTGCAGAACATGCATTTTTTTGCGCAGCCCTGAATTAAAGACTGTAGCAATTGGTCATTGGATGCCACATCATTGTCGCAGAGGTGGTAGCTAGGACCAACATGTTGATTTTTTGTTACGCCGTTTATGGTCGTTTATTGCAAGCAGAGGCACACTGCAAGTCCTACATCTCTAAACATCACTTTGCAAATGGATTCACCATTCATTCTTATGTTTGTGGAAGAGTCTCATGGAAGGTTCAGCACACATCAGGTCGTTCAGCCACACTAGTTTCCGGTGCACAATGCACCCGCAGCTACACTTGCAAGAACCAAGACAAAGTTGAGGGACAAGCCAGGAGTTCTCTTGAGGATCCGCAGTTATGTCTTTAAACATTGTGCTGCTAAAACGTATTATATATATATATGCATTATTTTTGTTGTTATTACTACCTGTAACTTTTGTGAGTCGTTTGTGTATCTCAAAACATAGACAACCTCCAAACGGTGTTGGTATGTGTTGGTATTGTTGTGCTTTGACTTTGGCCTCTCCCCCTCACCTGGTAACACTGGGTGACTGATGTGGTTTGGGCACATCGGATTCAATCCCCTAATACCGAAGCCTGGGCCGAGACCAGAGGGCTTTAGATTGGGTTTCTGAACTCCAACCGGAAGCCACGGAAAGTATCAGAGTGGGTGCAGATCAGATTATGTTCCTCAAGCCAGGGAGGCTGCAGCCAGTTTCTATCTTCATCAAGTGAGGGCTGAGGATATGTGGCTTGTATACATTTGCCCTAGGCCCTAGTTTAGTACTGGTAGATGAAACAAGTGTCGCGGCAATCCCATGGAGCCGGTGGGGCAAGTTCATTTCTCCCAACAAAAGTGTTTTTTTCATTCTTGCCTGGGTCCTTCCACTGCGGACTTCTTTGCTATGGCTTTTTACAGGGAACTCACCATTAAAAACGAAAATGTTTTTGAGGTTTCCAATCTTTCAAGCCAGCTCCCATTCTCTCAGGATTTGATGTTGAACCTCATTGCTCAACGCGACTTCGTGCTCCGTTTGGGCATCTTCCGCGCCTTCCGCCTGGCCCGCATCGTGGCTTGGCACTGAGGAGACGCTGCTGACGGTGAGGTGAATGTTGGGAGGGTGGTGCAATCAGGTTTGGCGACGCTATGATGGAGGTCGCGGAAAATGGATGCATCTTAATGATGGGCTCCCCCTGTAGTTGCTGTGTTATGTGTTCTTATTTCTTGTTCAACATTATGTCCTGTCATTATGTTAATTAATTGGAAACAAGGGACCATTTCTCAGTCAGGTTTCATCTGTCAGAGATTGGATCCAGGCAGTGTTTTGGGGCTGCCAGCTGTTGAGGGGGTCGGGCATGGAAGGTTGCTCTCCTGGTCAGGTTTTAGATCTGCTGAAATGGAGTCGGAGCAATCGCCAGAACTTTAGAATATATGATTTCAATATGTGCTAGCGATTATATGGCTATTCCCTTGCCGACAACCAGGCATGTTGAGGCCAGACACATCGATCCACCACCCGCGCCGGTTCGTCCGAGATCCGTTTGATGCGCGTGCTGCGGAAGATGCGCGCCCTCCGTGAGCTTCAGAAGCTGGTGACGATGATGTCCACCTGTCGCTCGCCACGGGTCGACGATGGGGGTCGATGCCTGGTGATGGGGCGTAGAAGGAATCCACTGACGACTGGCACGGCAGACGTCCGACCTGTGATACACCGTAGAAAAACTCTTTGACACCACTCCCAGGATCAGACCACAAGACTTGATTTGTGGGGGGGCCCAACCAACATGATATACAGAACCCATGGAATACCCTCGCATCCACACCGTAACACCCTCCACTGCAGGAGTGACACTCCCAAGATCAGTTCATCTTAATCTTCCCTTCCTTCGGCTGGAGCCCGTCCTTCCCCTCCCGACTGGGCAGAGTGGCCCGATCCAAGGCTTGAAGGCGCTCTTTTGGTCTTTCGTCTTTTGCTTTTTGGTGATGAGCACCTTGGCACAGTTGGGGGCAACCGGCAAGTTTGGCCGTATTTGGGGCGAAGTGCGAAGGGCGAACGCCAAAGCGGAAATCGGATCTCGCAGAAAAGTCTAAAGACTTAGACTTGCTGAGATACTTGAGTTGGTGTTTCTTTCTGCGGATGTGTTTATTCTCCTGGCCTATGTAGTATAGAATTTTTGGAGCAATGATAAACAAAGCGTTTGTGGGGATTGGAAACAACCTCGATAAAACGACATCGCCTGATCAGCAGGAACATTGCAATTCCTAAATTGAGTACGGACTTCTCCATTGCTGTATATCCCATTCATCCGCCCCAAGCATAGATCTGAAAGCATGACCTCGAAATGGAGCTGAACAGCATGTCATTCGCTTGCTACTGCTCTAGTAAAAGTCGAAAGCTGGGAAGGTGCATATTGCATCCGGCTTCAGGGCGGTGGTCAGCGGATTGACTTATGGTTTTTATCGGGCAGAACTACAACTTTGTCCCTACCCAATGCTTCCGCAGACATGATCCCGGAGAGCCTTGTTCAACTGTACAGGATGCACAACCATCCCGAGGACGTAGCTCCAAAGACTCTAAGATCTATTTCGTATAGAGTTGATGTTTGTGGCTCCTTTTTGTGGATCGCCACCTTTCTCTTAGATGTCCTCCTCGTCCACAGCCAACATGACCGAGGCATTTGGGCGATGTTTATGGTTGAGGCTGGATGATGTCAGCCGTGAGAGCCGATGATGTTGTCAGAACTTCCGAGAAAGGAGTTGTTGGTATCCCGCTGCCATAGTGCCATGCACATCGGATGTTATATTGACTTGTTGGCAACTAAGTGCCATGGTGCCATATGGAAAATGGCTGGCTAGACCCCAGCCATCAACTGGCAGGTGGTGAATCCTTTGATTCACGAGATGAAGAGCGATGCCTTTCAGGTGCGAGTCACACGGTTTCCCGGAATTGTGCTCGCTCGTCAGGCTCAAAAACTGAACCCCACTCTACCTGTCTGAGCGATGGCCACATGTTCACCGATGAATGCGAGGTCCAGAACTCTGTTTTCAAATGCGATCGTTTGGAGATTTCTATGACCGTTTGATGTTTTCGGAGAGTCGATGACTATATTATATTCAATTCATGGTTGGTTGGAATTAGCCAGATTGGGCTGTCCCAGCCCTGTCCTATGACCAACATCCTCACTGCCAAATTCCACTTACTGCGAAATAAACGAGTGGCGTCAGCAACATCATCCCCATCGTTGATGGTTTACCCACCCACACGCGTGCCGTGGAAGTTCCACGCAGAACTGCCCGGAATGTATGACCTCGACGGGGTCAGTGATGGCAGCGAACTTGCTCCTTTTCCAAACGGCCACACGGCGGAGTTGGGCCGGGTGAAAACTGGTCGAGGGATCTGCAGAGCGGCAAGCTGGGATGCGACGGTCTTCCACAGCCCGCAATTGGTGGGTTTTGCTCTGTTTCCCTACTGGACAATGGGGTTCAGAGGTTTGCTACGTTTGCTACGTTTGGTTTGTTGAGCTGCAATAAAATGCAGAATAAGAATATGGCCCAGTATGGCAGAATCCATGTGCTATTTTGTCCTTTAGCGGCCTAAAGGGGATTGGATGCTGGGCCCGTTAGACTCATTAGACAGCCAGGGCTTTTATTCCTCAGACCGCCTACGAATCCCTTAGCAAGAACAAGAGGTGTAGCGCGCAAATAGGCAAACATATGGCCATTTAGCCCAAAACAACAAGTTTAACTTGACTCAGGGTGATAGCGAAGACTAAGACTCTCACCAAGTACCAAGAGAAATGTTACACCAGCCTTCGCACCAGAAGCAGAAGATTGAAACACTGGAGCCTCCCACTGTCACTGGCTTGGTGGTACGTTCGCCAGGGCATTGCCCAAGTCGTGTCAGACCAGGTCATTGCAGGCGACAGCTGGGGCAAGTTGGCCGTGCCTGTGATCAAAGCTCACCCTGAGACGGCCATTATTTTTGTCGGCAGCCTCCTGACGTTGGCCGCTTCCTTGGAACAGCAGGGAACAAAGCAGCTTTTCAATATGTTCAAATATTCAACTCTTTGTGGCCTGAAGTCTGAAGTGAAGCAACCAATAAGTTATACATAAATTATAGTGATATATAATTTAACAACATATATATATATACACAGTATATCGCTTTGTATCACATTCACGCATATTCACGCACAACAAGCATGTGTTTGTTTTTGTGTCTCCAGCAAGGCCCAGGGGCTCAGAGTCAGATTCAGAGTCCTTCTGGAACTTCTTGCCAACAACCAGCTGCTCAGACATGCTCAGACCAGGTCTTTGGCGTCCTCAACCTCATCGTCGCCGTAGTGGTGGACGCTCGGCCGAGGTCGACAGACCAACCAATGACCATAAGGAATCCGTGCATTCCTTTTCAAGAGAGTTGGTTCGGACAGATTAATAGAGATCCCCAAGATCCCCCGTTGGTTTACCCATGTCACTGTGTAAGGAACAAAGGTAGTGGAAGCATTTCTTGGTCTATGGTTTTGGTGGGACCAGTGGTAGTGGTAAGCTATTGTAACCGGTAAAGTACATTTAGTTATAGCTGGGTCTACTGGAGAACCCCCTGAAACAGGGGTTCCATGATGCGTGTCACTGGCCACACCCCAAAATAACTACTATCGGCAGGCGCATTTGCCAAGATTTGTCAAGAATCCTTGTCATTCACACCAAGTTTTTGCAGCACCCTACGAAGTGTTCGCCGTGGTGAACTACATACCCGTGGGGCCCGTGCGGCATATCCACATCCTTTCGCTTTCAGTTCTCAGGACACTTTTGCGGAAGCCAGATCGCGAGATATTTTGAATCTGGCTGAAGAATTGGAGTATGATCATGTCACTGGGAGCATTTCATGGGATGGGGGAATAGTGGAGTCATACAGTTTTGAACTGTGTGCCGGTTGTTGAACGTTGTTCCATACCCTTTTGGGGGCTGTGGGTGGACTCGACACTGCAAACTGGGATGGATGATGTTTGGCTTATGGACAATGTGTTTTGTTCTTTTCCGGTCACCTTATGGATGATGAACGCTTTCTGCCACCTTGGCTTGGTCCTGCCAACGAACACTGAGGGATATGGGATACGATAAAGATGGCGACCATGTTTGAACTTCCGAGCTTTCCTCTCAAGTGTGTGTGATTGTCCAAGCAAACGTATTCAACACTGGCGATGTCTAAAGAGAAAGGAACACTTCCTCAAACAGGCTCGGCTCAAGCAGCAAGGGATACTGTAGTGTTTCTTTAGGTTGATTCTTCAGTTCAACTGCATTCCAGGCTGGACGGTTCAATGGACGGGATATGTCCCAGCCGACCCGAATCCTGAGTTCCAAACGATGACCGGTGGCAGAGGACTTCCTGGCTCTGTAGATGACTTGACTTGGCGATCTTCAACCCTATATATAAATATAGATCATTAGTTAGATCATATGTCATTATGTAGATCTATCCTCTGCAAACTGGGCTTGTTCAGACGAGTTTACCATAGTTTTCCTCGGATCGTCATTTATGACTTTTTTGAAACCACCTTCTTCGGTACCCACAAGCTCTCCCCCAATCTTCAATCCTTTCTTTCTCGCTTGCCTCGCAGCGCGTCTTCGATCGAGGCAGCGGACCGGAAGTTTCTGCAGAGCGTCTTCGATCGAATGGACCTCAACGGCTCCGGGCAAATCACCTTCGAGGCGCCCATCGGGTGGTGGAGCGCAGATCGGGTGGTGGAGCGGGGAAGATGCGTGTGGTGGTGCGGGCATTCTTTGGCATGAACATGAAGCACATTGAAGAATATATTATATATTGAAGAATATATTATATATATATAATGAAGATTACTGAGACACTTTTGACCCACAATGTTAGGCATGTGGGACCAGAACCGCAGAAGCTCTCAGAGTTTGGGCAGCTAGCCGAGAAGACGTTATCGATAGGTCAATAGATTGACAGGCAGATATGATAGATGATGGAAGGATGATGATGGACGGATAAAGAGTTAATAATAGGAAGACGTGTTCCTGTTGAGAATAGATTTCCTCCAGGGTCACAGCTGTCTTGACCACCTGCACGATTCTACGTTTTGACCCCGTCCTTACTGTTTTATGCACATACGTCTGCCATTCGCCGCCCAATCAATGAATGCCTTTGGAAAGCGTTTGGTTGCCAAGCGCTTGCTAAGGAGCTGGTGGAAGGTGCCAGGAATGATCAAGAGCCCCTTGGAACTCGCAGCAAGCACAAGATTGTGTGCCGAGGTGTACAGTGTCGTTGTGGGTTCATTGATTGGTGTGCAGCGCTGGTTGCTCCTTTTGGACATGTAGTCAATATACAGATCAGAGATGATCAGTGTAGGCTGGTTCTATTGTCTGAACCGGTCAGGTTTATGCTAAGTCGTACCAATGACATGATCATTTTGAAAACATCTCCAGGCATACTGACGTGGCCATGTCATTTGAGGTCAGTACAAGAAAAAGATGGATGTCCAAAGCTGATGCTCATGCCATTTCCTGTATAGTATAATCACCGTTCATCGACCAATCCAGTGAACAGTGTTCTTCCCAAGCGGACGTATATTTTCTATACAGATCCTTTTATATCAAGATAGATCTATAGGGGGCTAGCGCCCACGGCCACCCGACCCCCGAGAAGGGGTCAGTTAGACGGGGTCTGGAGGCGTGGCATCGCAGGCAATGAATTGTAAAGGGTACAGTAGACGCCGATGGACCAAGATCAAGGTGCCCCAAAATAGGCTTGCTTAAGCTGCTTAGGGAGACACACTCTGACATCGGGTTTGCAGTTAACTCAGTTCCCAGGTCAAAGAAAGGTGATGGAACGGAAAGGTGCAAGATCAGCTCAATTGAATTGTTCAACATTGTTGACGCGTGACTGCAGCTGCACGACAGTGGAAAACGGCGGAGGGAAACCTGTTTTGGGGTCTATCATGAGAAGAACCATGGCAGCAAAACGAAAGAGTGGACAGCGTGGTCAACAGTTGAAAATGCAGGTGCACACGGATGATCAGTCCGTGCTTCCCACTCCAAGGCATAGCTTCGTTGCACTGAGTTTTGCCAAGGAGTGCTCAGTGCCCCTGCAATGGTATCAAGTTTAAACTCTTAGAAACAGAGTGTGACACACTCTGACATTGGTTTTCAGTTAACTCAATTCCCACGCTGAGAAGGAAGGTGAAGGAACGGAAAGGCGCATGAGTCAGCAGAACAGTATTGTTGAAGAAGTGTTTCACAAAACGCTCAAGTGAAAGCGATCAGCGGCTGCAGAACGGAGGAAAACCTGTTTTGGGGAGAGTAGCGTGGGAACAACCATGGAAACAAAGAACAGCGGCAAGGGAAACCAGTGGAGTCAGTGAGTTCGAAGCAGGTACACAGATTGGCGTCCCAATCTGCTTCACGGAATGTCCACAGCTGTCTTCGTTGGCAGCAGAACTGTGGATCCCTGCTGCCCCCTGCTCGTGTTCCAGAATTGGACGTGAGCAACCCTTTGAGACAGGGGGTGACACACACACATGGTGCCGCTTTGCGGCGCTCGTGCGAACGACCTGAATAGGTACCTAAAAAGCCTTAGAAACAAAAGAAAGAAACACAAAAAGAGCAGCGCTAAGAGGGCAAGAGAGAAAGGTAGGAGTAGAAAAAAGTGAATACTTAGCCCTTGACTGGGGTAGGGAAACGAGCCTCAAGAGCAACCTAAAAAGCCTGAGAGAAAGCCCAAGAAACGACCAAAAGCGCAAGAAGGAAAGTGGGGCAGGGAGGTGTATGTACATGTGTGTGTATGAATACTTAGCACTCTAGAGTTACTGACTACTTAGCATAAGCGAATTACGTGCAATAGTTGGGGAGCGGGACTTTAGTCTTAAACCGCCCGGGTAGAGAAGACTAGAAAAGGGACAACAGAGGGAAAGGCACCGACACACAAGTGTGCCGAGTACCATTTCCCTCTGTTACCCTAATTAGGTAGGGGGTAGAACTCGGCGGGGGGGGGGGCGGCTATGGTGTCAGTAAGCAGGTGTTTTCCGTGAAAGCCCGGCGGCTTCTTATTCAGACATCTCAGTGGTGAGACTAAGGCTGTTAAGAGAATTCACGATGAAAAAACGATGAATCTGTGACACGATTTCCGGCAAGAGAACAGCGCCTCCTTGCGGAGGATCACACCCAGCACCCAAGTGGGACGGCTGAGCGATTCACACGCTGATTTTCAGTTAACTCAATTCCCACGCTGAGAAGGAAGGTGAAGGAACGGAAAGGCGCATGAGTCAGCAGAACAGTATTGTTGAAGAAGTGTTTCACAAAACGCTCAAGTGAAAGCGATCAGCGGCTGCAGAGCGGAGGAAAACCTGTTTTGGGGAGAGTAGCGTGGGAACAACCATGGAAACAAAGAACAGCGGCAAGGGAAACCAATGGAGTCAGTGAGTTCGAAGCAGGTACACAGATTGGCGTCCCAATCTGCTTCACGGAACGTCCACAGCTGTCTTCGTTGGCAGCAGAACTGTGGATTCCCTGCTGCCCCCTCTGCTTGTGTTCCAGAATTGGACGTGAGTAACCCTTTGAGACAGGGGGTGACACACACACAGAGAGCGCCCATATCGGCGCTCTCGAGGAACTTACTAACCACCTAAAAAGCGTTAGAAAGAAAGAAAGAAAGAAAAAGAAAAGACAGAAAGGGAAACGCAAGGCAAGAGAGAAAAATAGGTGTAGTTACGAGGCCCACTAGTTACGAAACCTGCCAGTTACTGAATACTTAGCCGCATGAATTAGATGCACTAGTCAGCGAGCGGGACATTAGTCTTGAACCGCTCGGGTAGCTAGAACTAGGACAGGAGAAACAGAAGGAAAGGCACCGACACACCAGTGTGTCGAGTACCATTTCCTTCTGTTACCCTAGATAGCGTGTGGGATAACAGTACGAATTCGGTTGCAAGGTGCGTGGAAGTGTGTGAATGTGACACATATATATGACCGTAAGCCCGGCGGCGTGGAAGTTCAGCCGCAATTCCGTGGAGCCCGGCGGCGTAAGTTGCAGGGAATACAAGGGTGAAGCAAGAATCGGTTAAGAGAATCCAACGTGTGCAGTAAACCGCTGAGTCCGTTAGACGGTAATCCGGAGTGAAGACAGCGCCCCAGTGACGGGGATCACACCCTGCACCCAAGTGGGGCGGCAGAGCGGCACACACTCTGACATTGGGTTTGCAGTTAACTCAGTTCGCAGGTCGAAGAAAGGTGATGGAACGGAAAGGTGCAAGATCAGCTCAATTGAATTGTTAACATTGTTGACGCGTGACTGCAGCCCCTGCAATGGTATCAAGTTTAAACTCTTAGAAGCAGAGTGTGACACACACACAAAAAAAACCTCAAAAAGTCTGTGAGCCAGGCACACACGAGGCCGCGGAGAAATGTTTGAGAAGCAGCGCAAGAGTTGTCTCAGACATGGTTCCCCAGTAATGTTGTGAAGCTTGTCGTTCACGACAACTTGCGCCAGAGGTCTCAGACCACCGTTTGTCGAGAGCAAGCTCTCTTTCCAAAAAACAGCCAACAGCCTTCCTCTCAACATATCGGATTATCTCCGGTTGTGTTCACACTAGGTCACAAATGCTATTGAGGCCCCAAATCCCAAACTCCGGAAGCATGGAACTACCTTTCACAGAATCTTGCACGAATCCAGAAGCCGCCACGAGAGCCGTCCATCCCTGTGTTTGGGAGGTTGAAGCATGCACGGAGGAGCGTTGCCAAGGTGGACCAATCCCACCATGGTCCAATTCCTCTGCTTTGTTTGCCACAGATCCGGTGCGCAGATGTCGCGCGTGAAGCAAAAATTAGGGGATACGAAGTGCAAGCAGATGCAAGTAGGGTGCCACGAAGGGCTTTTGTCAGGGGTGTGCAGAGGGAGGGAGAGGGAGAGGGAGAGGGAGAGGGAGAGGGGGAGAGAGGGAACAGTGCTTCCCAACCGAAGAACCGAAAACGGAGATGTGGGTCACCCACCAAAAGTTTTTAGACCAAACAGCTCAGTGGTTTGGAATTCAGGAGGAAAGCCTCAAAATCGACTTATCGGGTCTGTCCCCGCCCCGGCCTCAAGCGAAGGTGAAAAAACATAAAAAACCGGTTGTCCTTGTTGCCCCACAATCCTGCCAAGAAGAGAAGAGAAGAGAAGAGATGGTCCCCGGCGGGGGGCGCGCGACCACATGCCCCAGCCTCAATCCAAAGGGGTGAGACAGGAGTCGAATAGCTGGGGGAGCCGAGCCCGAGGCCAAATCCTCGACAACTGGCCACGCTTTTGGAATTTCAACATGTGTCATTTTTTTTGCGGGTTTTTGTCAGTGTGACGGCTAGAAGTCACCGCGTCCACCGCTCACCGGAGTCCTTCTCAGGAACATGCCGGCCCCGCTCCGCTCACGCTCACGTTTTGGTCCTAGCCTGGGGTCGGCGATTATTTTTGAATTTATTTATTTTTTTACGAAGCAGCCCTCATCATCCCGAAACGATGTTTCATGTTTCTGTGCGTATTCTCCCCCGACGTGGAGTGCCCTTTCCAATGGGTCAAAGCACTTCATTGGCTTCTTCATCCGGCTCAACTTCTTCCATCTCAGCCGCGGTGGATAGGCCCCCGAAAGACCTTTTCCATCCGTTCCCTTTGTTTCCTAAGTTTTCTCCTTCAGGTTCCAAAGCCGCTTGCGAGTGATGGACATAGACGAGACCGATCTCAAACAGCAACTGAGCGGAGAACCGGTGATTGTTTTTAGAGTTCCAGCCTCAGCAGTGTGTGTTTTTCGGTTCGGTGACCATTTCTGGGTGTAAACTGGTGCCCTCCAAGGATTGGTGTGAACAAGTCGACGTCCATGTGTTTTTTTGTGGGTCAAAAAGTAAGGCAGGAACCGTAAGTTTTGTTCGTCATGGGGTTGAGGTGGACACCATATAAGTTTAAACCATAGCCATAGTAGGAACGGGTCCAATCCATTCCTAACATATCCTGACAAAGATTTCGACCAGGAGTTTTGGAAGATTTGAACCCTTTGCCAGCAACACCAGGCAGTGTTTGTCTAGAATCTTCAAATCCAGAAATATTCAGCTTTCCAAAAAAACGCTGAAAACATCTGGGCTGCCCCAGGGTATGCGAGCTTGCCTCTCGCTCGTTGTGCCGCTTTTGAAGTTTTAGGCTCTTCGAAATGATCGATACCCACGCTGAAGGTGGGGCGTTCTGGTTTTGTCAGGGTTAGACTGTCACACTGGGTGGGTTTGGCCAGAGTAGTGAAACACAGAATTGTGATGTTTGTAGAACAATACAGATAGGAAAAAATTGAGCAACCTGTATTGTTCTTGATCAGGATTGTTGTTCATACATTTGAGACATCAACATAGTGGGGCAGTTTGAAACCCGCAGAGCGCGATTTGCTTCGAATTGTGCGGATATACTGTAGTTTCAGTGATTGAGTGACCATGTTTGAAGTCATTTTTTGTCAACTTCTTCGGTGGATGCGGAATGTGTCTTCAAAATACACACAAATGATCGGAATAGTTGTTCCTAAGGCTTCAGTAAACCCTGAAACTAGTCCTGAAACTTTAAAGCTTAAATTATGCAACATGATACAACAAAAACTTAAACCAACTGGATAGAGATAACACACATACAGATAGATACAAAGGCTGAGTAGTTAAGAAGTCAATGAATGAATCCAAGAAACTGTCCGTGCAGGGGTGGCAGCATTGTTGTGCTGTCACTGTTGGTTCAGAGTCAGCTTTGTTTGACTGGGCGAAATCCACCATGTTTTTGCTCCAGTGGTTGGATGACACTTCACGGCAACTGAATCGACTGATGCATTTCTTTAACATGATAATCTATGCATGAGTATGCTGGCTAGTTTCTACGTTTCTACCAGAGAGCCGGCTGTTTTCTGTACTGTCCTGGGCGAGCATTGCCCAAAGTCGTGTAATTAGGTCGTGCCGTAAGCATTGCTCCATTGCCCCATTCCATGCTGCCCGGTGGTGCGAAAGCTGGTGGTTTCCAACGGAAACCCTTTTCAGAAACCAGGATTGATGACAGCCTAGTTGGGATGTTCGCCGACGAACACAACACGAGGGAGTGCCCCCGACCTCAGACGATCGAAACCTGCTGCTGTCTCTTGAATTGTTCCACCGAATCACTTATGATACGTATGATGGGTGTTTGTTTAATGATTGATACGGTTTGTCCGGCATTGGGAATGGTGGAATTGTGCTTCCTCCACTCGCGGAAGACTGGTGTGCATTTGTTGAATTATGTAATATATGATTTCTCCAGCACATTGTTTGCCAAGCTGCGCAGACATGCGTCAACCCGCCCCCCCCGTGGTTTTTTAACACGGTCGGCAGGTGAGATCAACGCGGCGGAGTTCATCGGGCCTTTGAGTCGATGGGTGGGTGGACCCAGTGAACTACGGTCGCTTTCAGGTGGACACCAAGAGCTACATTGAGCAGCTACGGTCGTTTGATTGGCACATGAGGACACCTGTGACACATTGAGATTTTGGTGGTTTGTGGCAGTATAAAGGAGGTTTGTTTAAAAACTTTTGGTTGTTTACGTTTTTAAACATGTCTTGGAAGTGGTTTTTCTTGTAGAATTCCGAATTCCAGCCTGCTCCGACGACCTCAGATATCCTCAGATAGCGTTATAGCGTGGCTTGGATCAGAAAGCATGCCGAGACCGTACCGTCATGCGGTTCGTGAATGACCTGAATGCACCGATCGAGGGCGGCGAGGGCGGCGTGATGGGACCGGGAGACCGATCCATAGAGGCGCTTCTTGTTACTCGTGCCGAGCCGAGCAGGAAGGAAGATGAAGGGAGAGGAGAATTGGAGGAGGACACATCTGGTAGAAACATACCTTTAGACTTTAGACAAAAAAATGTGGGGAAAGATGCCCTCATAGATTTCAGCTTTGCCCCAACGAGGCCAACTGAGACGGCGCGGCTTCATGCGCCGTCTTGGTCCATCCACTGCTGTTTCCTGCGGTGGTGACAGACCAGACTCAACCACGGTTGCAAGGATAGCGCGGTTGACAATTTATTTGAAGTCAGTCCACAGCTTCAAAGACAAGCAGCTAATTACAGTGACTCGGTTTTCGGAACCAGCTTGAACCAGGCCATTTCAGCACACGCTTCTGGCCTGCAAAAGATTTCTGGCCGGGTGCGAATGACAATGGCCTTGGCATTGATCCAATGACATTGTGTATTGATCCTGCAGTGCTTAAAGCCGCGACTGGAAAAAACAGGAAAGACTTCTAGCTCCAAGCGTCGAGAATCGACGATGGCACGCCTCTCGACGAGGCGAGACAACCGGGCCCTCCCAGGCAGGCAAGAAGAACAATATTCTTTTGAGTTACTAATAGCGATGGCCTCCAACCTAGAAGCGATCGGCCTCCAACCACCTGGTACTACAGTGCTAAGGCAAAGACTCCATTTCCATGTGTTCCCAAAGTTGCAGTTGGCTACATGGTGTTGCGTTTCTTCTTTCATCACGTCCTTCAGAATCTTTTCTCTCTGCGCCCTACCACGCGGTCCTTCGCGGATCACCCAAACCCAGTATCCTACCCTGGCGAGTTTGAAGATGTTGTCGCACCAAAACCCAGTACCTCTCTTGTTGCTGAAATATGTTTTTGGCTTCGCAGTGCCAGCAAACAGAACAGAGATTTGCTCTGTGCCAGCGATGAACAGCATTGTCTTCTATTGTGCGGGGTAGGCTGGCTAGTACTTTGTAGCATCTGAGTAGTTCCAACTTTGGGGTTCCCCCCTCCCTTTCCACTCCTGCCTCTAGATTCTAGACATCATTTTGGTACAAGTGGTTTTGATCCCTTCCGGAAAACATCAAAAGCACCCACCTCAAACGTCCAAGGAACGGAGGTACTGGATCTAACCATCGGTCCAAACCCTGTCTTCTGCGGTTGAGGGGAGATGTCTGTTCGTTTCGCCAGCAGAATGGCGTGACCATTGAATGCACATCAGTCCGGGGCTGGGTCAATGGACACGGGGGATCCTGCATGGTTTGTAGCGGTCAAAAACATCAGTTCAATGGTCTTTTGTCCGTATCGAATAAACTCAGATTACCCTCCCTCCAACAAATATGGAAGCTGACCAGGACCCCTTGTAGAGGAAAAGGATCTTCCTGGAGTGAAGCTATTCGGATAGGACAGTTACGCAACTCACTCTGCCGAGACCTTTTTCTGCATGCCTCATAGTTTGTGCATACTATTGTATACTATTGTCATTGTGTAAAGTGAGTTTTAGTGGCCACATTAGGCCGTGTGGCATCCAAGTTGTAGTATCCGTTCAGCGTTGCAAGTCGCGACAATCAATAGAACTATTCAAGTTTGACTGACAAAACATCTAGAAACCAAATGTCATTAGTGCGAGCGCTTCTTCAAAGAAGCTCCCCCCCCCGCCGCAATTCTTGAAGAAGCGTTAAACCGTAGCTATCCTGCGTCTTAGCTAGGAGAGAACTTCTCCCTTATTAAATTAAGTGGGCACCTACATAGGAGCGTCCACTCACTTAATTCAGTAAGGGCACGCTAGACAAAAAGCTGGTTTTCATTTTGGTACTTGACATTTCCCCTCTCCCAGGTGCATGAGTCGAAAACCGCGCCACGCTTTATCAAGTACAACTTGCAGTCCCTCAGATGCACGTCTTTGACCGGGATTGGTCGGATGAAGTGGGGTTCCGTGCGTTCTTTGGGTTCTTGGTTTCCGGCCTCGAGGGACTGTAGCTATTGAGCAGACCTGCCCCGGAAGATCCTCACTTCGGGATCGTGACCCAAGTCCTGTCATCTCTTTCAGGACTATGTCGTTGAAGTCCAAAGTTCCAAGGAGTAGCAGAAGACCAGACCAAAGTGAGCAAACCGACAGCTTAAAAGGGGCAAATCCCAATGAAGAACATCGCAGGCTCCATGAGACTATCAAAAGACTCACGCTCGCGGTGATCGGATCATCGGACAAGCAAGTCCCCTTTGGCTGGTTCACGTTGACAGACTTGGAGGAGCCAACCCCATTTGACTCCTCGTCCGGACGAAATCCGCTAGGCGCCCAACGTTTTCCACTGCTTGCGCAGTCAAGTGGTTGTGGGGAACTCTTGCATCAGCCACGTCGTGAACACTCCAATGGACCATCCATTGAAAGCATCGAACCCGGTACAAGTAAATTTGATTCTATCTATATAGTGGCTCTAGCGTTTGCTTCATCGCTTGGTGACCACAGGCTGATGGACACCTCTTGTTGCATCTCATTTGCACCCTCCAGGCGGGCGATGCAGCAGCAGGATGATCTATTCAATTTCTGCGAGGCACGACCGGAAAGGCCACCGCCCAAAAATGACTGGATCAAAGTGTTTCGATGGGTCAAAAGAGCCCGTTTGAAGTGAATTGAACAGGTTCACTGGGTAGGCAAGCATTTTTGTTTGTTTTAATATGTTTTAATTGGGCTGCAATCTGCAACATTCCCAATCCTGCGTTACATTGTGCAGGCCGCCCGATCGTTAGGTGCATGATTGAATGTTATCTGTTTTCACTCTTCGGATTCAATCGTCCTCTTCTCTTTATTCTATGTTATTCTTGGATGAATCGTAAGGAATCGTAAGGGTCAATTTCCACACTAGGAATGCGTTTTCGTGGGCCTGACTCGTACACCAAGCAGGTGAAACCAGATTCATGCGGAGGACATGAGGGGATGACAGATAGATTGCAGGTTACCCTCATAAGTCGGATGGCCCGGGGATTGCAGATTAGGATTGTGGCCACAGTGGTTTTGACCAGCCCAGGTATGAGGAGGAAGGAAGGCGTTTCTTTCACTTCCGAACTTGTGCCCTCCCTCCTGTTCTGGGCTAAAGCTGTGAAAGCATGTGAAGACACTCATCAATTTTGGGAAGTGGCGCAGGCCGGAAGGTACTCCTTTGATACCAGCACGTATATCCATTAATACCCCGAGAAAAAGACACACATCATACTGATTGAGAAGGCTGAGAAGGCGCTGGGACCTTTCAAACACACCCTCAAAATCCCTCAAACACCTTCTCAGGAGATATTGTTATATATACCAGGGACTGCAGTATGTTTCCGTTTGATTCCGTTTGCGCATGACAATGCCCGTAGGATTGCTTCAATCTCGTGGGCGATCGCATCGACGACATCGTCAAGCGCTTGGACACTTTGGCTCCGATGAGGGTGGACCCGATGAGGATGGAGGGGCCATGAGGGGGCCCTGGGCTGCTGGAGATGTCACCACCCCGTCTTGGGTTGGAGGCCAAACCAGGTATGACCACCTGGGATGCTGGCTTTCTTGTAGGTCTCCTTGAAGTGGTCATCGCTGACAAAGGAGCATGGATCAAAGTGAGGGTTTTGATATCCAAGCCTAAACAACTCCAACGTGCCATGCCACGTGCTGCTCTATGTTTAACACCCAATTGGCCCTAAGTAAGTTTGTTGGCTTTTACCGCTCTCAAGCCTTCTATGGATGTTTGATGGACTTTGCTGGTCATTTTAAGTATGTATATACACTCAGCGAAACAGGACGACACCACTCAAACATAAGCGAGACACCACCTAAATGACCAAGACACCAGCAAAACATGGCCGAGACACCAGCGAACATGACAGAGACATCACAAAAACACAACCAAGGGACCACCAATACGTGACCAAAGCACTATCGAAACCGACCCAAACACCAAAGCACGACCGAGACACCGTCAAAACTCAATGGAGACACCACCAAAAAATGACCGAGACAGCACTCAAACATGACTGAGACATCACAAAAACATGGCTGATACACCAGCAAAACATGGCCGAGACATCACCAAAACATAAGTAAGCTTGCCAGCTAGCATTGAAGGAGAGTCTTTTTCTGCAGCTACAGGTTTTTGAATCTGGATCATTCTCCATTGCCATTGCAACATTTGTTATTTTATCTTCACTCAACTCAGTACAAGGTCACAACGATGGTCAACACTGAAATCCTTTGGACACACATGGTGATGCAGAACTGAGGATGTGGTGTCTCCATCTATTAGGACTAGTCACTACAAGGCTCGGGTGCTTGTCGATCCTGTTTGAGCGGCATTGTGCTCGCGAAGACTGTTTGTGTGGGTGTGCCCGCACCAGTGAAGGCAACTGCAGTAAATATGTAGATTAAACATGATTAAACGCTGACACAAATGACAAACAACATTTCTTCAGACCTGCCCAGACTCCCCAGCCCTGCCCCCCTGAGCCGCCCTGCCAGGCACATGACGATATAGATACTCAGAGCACAGAGATGGAGCAGCCACTGGGCTGGTTGAGTCGTGGTTGAGTCCTGGGCGTTGCTGGTAGGTGACCCTGTTGATTCTGTTGGCCGCAACCTTGAACTACTTCTCGAAAGGTGCGGGAGATATTGATGGATATTGTATACATGGTGCGGCATTGTAGGGTTTGCACTCTGCAGTATCGCTGGCAGAGGTTGTCTTGGATGGGAAGGCATTCTTGCTCGTTCCATGTGGCAGATCTCTCTTGTTTAGACTCGTCTTGGAAGATCTACTCGGTGTGGCAAAACCTGAGGTGTGAATTGGTTTCAACGAGACAACATGTACAATATACATGACTAATGTCGACACCGCATTAATCAACCGCCCCCCTTCAAGGTCAGCAAGATTAACAAGGTTTGAGATTAGAGGTATATGGAGACCACATCCCCTTAATAAAGGTGATGCCCTTGTCCCATGCTTTGCGTGGTCATCCATGATTGGCCTAGGACTCCCGAAGGGGAACAAAGATATTAAGGAGTCGATGTCGATTATAATATGAATTATATTGTTAAATGTTTTTTTCCCCACCTGTAAGGTGAGGGTTGTTAGATGTTATGTCAGCTGCCTTCCTCCTTCTCCTCCGCCTCCGCCTCGTCCTCAACCGCCAGCTCCAGATGGCAGCGTTCCCCGCCGGTCCTCAACCACGAGTTCCCCTTGGCAGTGTTCCCCGCCGGACCTCAACCGCCAGCTCCAGATGGCAGTGTTCCCCGCCGGACCTCAACTGCGAGTTCCACTTGGCAGTGTTCCCCGCCGGACCTCAACCGCGAGCTTCGGCTCACAATCACAAACACACAATCAAAACCACAAGCGCAACCAGAAACACAATCACAAACACAAACAAATCAAGCAATCACAAACACACAACACACAGCCACAAACACACAACAACAAACACAAGCACAAGCACACGACAATGACAAACACACAACAACCACAAACACACAACACACAAACACAACCACAAGCACACAACGACAGCAAAGTAACTACCTGTGTGTGGCACTTTGCGTGGCAGGTTGTCACAGGGTACGGGTAGCACTTTTGGATGCCAACAGGAGAGCCTGGCGACACCCCGATGCGAACTCCCCAACACTAAAAGAGCAACCCCAGCCCGAGGACCCACAAGCAAAACCATGGCAACGTGCTCCGCACCATGGCATGTCATGGTGGGGATCACTCGAAGCAAAGGAATTATAATTAGAATCATTTCGAGCCGGCACAGGATCCTGTTTAGGAACAATGTAGTATCAAACGTGCTTGGTAAAGTAGAAACTTCAGGTGCTTATAGTCCCTTCTATGTACACATGCTCGAGACTAGACACCATTACACCTTGACCCGATAATTTCGGTGGATATCCTCAACGCAGCAGGATTGAGGCGGAGGTGTGGAAGCATGTTGGAGCTGGATGCACATTTTGGCTAGCATTGTGTTTGTGCTGGAATCTGTGATCACCACTGTTCCTTTCCCAGTGTGGATGGCCTTTGCAAACTTTATAATCCTTTAGCCCATGCATTGTTAGCAATTAGTTGCATAGATTGTTTTCATTCGTTGCAAAGTTGCTTCGGTGCAGGTCCAAAAGCCAAGACTGGGATTCCATGTTCCTTTCTTGGTCCTGCCCAGCTTGGGGGTGTAGCTGTGCTGCTTTGAGGTCAGACTTGCCACACCTAGCCAAGGTGCCAAGCGAGGTGGGATGTTCGCAGCAGGAAGCGTTGTTGACAGAGTTCCTAAAAGCGGATACCACCAACCAAAGATAGCCGCACAGCCCTGCCAGAAGGATTTGGAAGTATGACCATGCAAAAACCATCAAAATGTTCAACCAGGACTTTCATGACCTTTGCAAAGGAATGAATGAATATGAATGAATGATATATATATATATGTTTAATTAATGTTAATTCTATCAATTTACAGTAGTTTTTAATGACTAATTAAGTTGAAACCGCCAACAAGTTTTGCCCTGTCCGGGTCTGACTCTTTTCATGTCCATGGATTGAAAATTTGAAGGCACTGAAACACGTCCTGAGAATGGTGACGAGTCTGAAAGGACTCGCTATGAGGAACGTCAAAACATTACGTTTTCAGAAGGGAATCGGCTAAAAGTACTCCTGTGCACCACGTCCTGCCAGAAAATGTGAGAACCGTTCTTTAAAGCAAATACAAAGTGTATAGCCTTTTGACTACGGCGGGGTGGTCTATTGGGGGCTGCTGGGGAGTCTTTTGGAGGATTGGTGGAGGCTTAAGTGAAGTATCTCCTTCCTTTCAGTTTAATTTTTGCACGTACGCACAACTAAATGTATATAGTTGTTGGTGGTGGTTGTAACTGTTTTACCCCTGAAAGGGAGGTGATTCAAGCAATTGGTCGCACATAGAACTATATAAAGCTAGAGTGTTGTCATGTACATTGCGGCAAGTGGTTACAAGATAAAGGTTGTGCTGATGCTGTGTACATAAGCTTTGCTGCAAAGGGTTTCGTCAGATTGACATGTCAGTGAAAGTCCCAATTGTGGCCGCGTTTGGCACGCCTTGCGATTCTTCCCGCCCGTCCGGCTCGGGCAAGCCGATGGCCATCGGCATCGCACGCCAAACGAGGCAGGCGTCAAGCCGAGCAACCTGGACACGGAGCAGCTTGGCAGCTGGACGGACATCTCATTGCACCTAGAGTGCACGAGTGATCCCCAAAATGGGAGTACAGAGACCGTCCCAAATAGGATCTCTCCAGCCAAGAAGACAGGAAAGTCTTGCAAGCCGCCCAACAAGAAGCTACTAGAAACAAGGGCATCGCTACTAGTAACAAGGGCATTACTAGTAACAAGACTGCAAAACCGGTGGGTTGTTTGACTCGAGATCCCTCATCACGGGATTCTGATCCCTTAATCCGGCGCATGGTGTCCATACGGCATCGCTACTAGGAGCAAGGACGCTACTAGGGGCGCTCCTGGCCTTACTACTAGGAACAAGAAGCTACTGCAAGAAGCTACTAGGAACTTAGGGCATTCGCTTTTCTGGACTGACTATGATCCATACAAAATGGTCTACCCTTTGCCATTTGCTACCCTCCAAAGTGGTCTTCAGGGAAAATTGCCTTTGGATGAGCCACCCACGAGGTTGGCGGCCGTCCGGGAACGCTTGGAAAAGCAAGTCATGACCGCTGAGATGGCATTGAGGTCCTCAATGTCGATCCTCGGTGGAGAGGGCGAGGGTGGGAGAAGCGGCAGGAATATTCGACGCCACCGAACCCTCCTTTCAGGGGTAAAACATTGCAAAACACTTCTTTTTACCCTGTCAACACATCCAGTGGCGATCACACCACAACAAATGTTATCAAGTTTTAACTTGTTTCTTCCCCGTGAGCTTGACTTTCATTGTCCGTAGAGTTCTTGGAGGCAAACTTACATGGGCAATTCCTTATCAACAACATGTTACACCCTGTGCACGATTGGCAGAACACACCCTGTGTGGGAAATCGTCCAGTTTGACCACCAGGTACCCTTTCTGAATTGTTCAAAGAAATATAAACAAAGAGATCACCCCCACATTGTGTCCCCGACCCTTTGGAGAGTTCCAGGGATTTGCAAATGCATTGCAATGCAGAAAACAGAAGACCCTTTGTTCCTGCAGGAGCACCCCTAGTAATAGCGTCCTTGCTCCTAGGAACAAGTAGCTCCAGAAAGCACCCTGCTGGACCGCAGACCTGTGGTGAGGGTTCTTCTAGCGTTGCCTTCGGGATACCTGTGTTGAAACAGTAGCCATGTTGTTTCTTCAAGAGCATTTACATCATTTACCTTGAATCATGTTCAATCCATGCCAAGTAAACTTCCCCCAATACTCCCACGATACACTTTGACTTTTTGGTTCATTTGGCTGTGTGTTTGCCAGGTGGGCGGTAGTTGAGTCACTTGGCTTAGACCACATCCTTTCCATGCGCGTTTCTCAGACCCCAGATGAGATCAACCCGGCCAGATTCAAGCCGATCTCTACAATTACTCCACACTGCTTAGATGTTAAGAGGCGTCTATGACATTCTGTGACTGCTCATTGTGGGTCCTCGCTGAGACTTTGTAGTTCCTTGGTGCTGAGAGTCTCAATCTGTAGCTCTCAAACCTTGTGGATGTGGGTGAAAGCCTCAGACATCGTCAGGTTGATGCTTCTTCTGTTCTAAATTTGTTCATTTGTTTGATATGTGTTTCTGGAGGATTGTCTGAAAGGAAGGCGGAATTAGGCGGAATTTGCATGTACCAGCCACACCCAAGCCCAGTTACTGAACCGCGCTGGAAACATGTCAGAATGAAGACAGATGAAGACAGTACTTATTGCTTTGAACTGCTGACTGGAACTCAATTTCCTGATTGTGTCGGAAAGCCTTGAGCACCTCATTAGAAGGGAAGGAGGAATGAGTCAAAATGAGTCAATTTAGAAACTTCCTTGGGATCGATCCCCCCATTCCTTCACAAGCATCAGTCAGGCAATGGATTGATTTTGTTTGATAGGGCACCCAGCGCGCCCAGAAGACCAGGCCTTCAGTACTCCCAAAACTGCTGTTGACCCAACTCGACTCCTGCACCCAATCTTCCGAAAGAACTGTTTCCAACACCTGCCCTTTTTGTTTGACTCGCAATGCAGTCTAGAAATTCCGGTCCATCTGAGGGTCTTGGAGTCCGCGATGGTGAACGTCGCTGTGCGCAGCGATGTTCCGCCGAAGCGTCCTTCCAACCACTCCGTCCGCCACCTCGGCCGAGAGACGACCTCGCGCGGATGTGCGTTGTCGTGCATGTGTTGATACTGGGCACAGATGATGAGGAGAGGGCAACGAACATATAGACAGTGACATAGGTGTGCCTGAAACAGATGCTCAATGATGTTCATTCATTTCATACTTGTAGCCTATCCTGGATGACATGAACAGAGCCTTTCCACATTGATCTCCCACACGCACCCTTGGTCATGAAGCTTTTGGAAGAGAATGAATCGACTTTCGAGACAGCGCTCCCTTTCCAAGTCTTTTTGTGCATTTGGTCCTGCCTCCTGTTCACTTCTGATACTGACCTTTTTCAAACAGCACACAGCAGCCAATCGCCAGACTATGCACCGTCAGAATGACAAAGCGGCTATATATATATATGAATAACTACACAGGATGCCAACAACCAAAGGAGCAATGCTGCATGAGACTAAGCAAGAGCACTTTGGATGGATATCTCTTCCTGAGTCATCTGAAATCAGTATCGCTTGATCCACACAGCCTTTGGTTGCTGAAAGGAGCTGCGACACGTTGAAACCGGTGTTGCAAGCAGGTGTGACGGTGTGTGACTGAACGTGGCCCTTGCTTCCTCCATGTACTCCCCACAAAATGTTAAATTTATCATTAGATAAACTATGCGAATGAATGTCACATTGACTGAATATGAAATCTTTATCACATACTGTAAGTCATTCACAAAAAATATACCGCGCATTGACAATGTGACTGACCAAAATGCTTTGGTTGACTCATTTGGTCATGGTGCGACCCATGGTGACCCGGCTTTGTGTGTCGTCGGCTTTGTTTCTCTAGAAAACGATATGGTCCTTACCAACAACGGATAATCCAGTCAAGATGTAATATGTGCAAATACATTTGTTGTCAGAAGGCTTTGCATTTGCATGGTCAAGTAAGCTAAACCGATGGGCAAAGGGTTCCCTCCATGATTTGCACCACCTTGTGCATTCTGCTGAGAACAAAACCTTCCCATGATGTTCCTTAGGCTTAAGCAGCTTAAGCATATCGGTTTCCCAAACAACAAGCAAAGGACAAGCCAAATGCGCCGGGCACTCTGCAAAAGCAGCAAGGGCTTCCCCCCATTGCTCGCTGATCAACGGGCCAAGATCCCAGCTCCCCGCTCATGTTATACGCGGAACCGCGAAAACGCCTTGACAAACACAGCCCAGCGCCACAAGAAGCCAAGCACAGTGCCTTCATCCGGGAGAAGAGTTTGCGCATTGGAAATATAGGCCCCACAAAACACGATAATCGTGTCAGATGGTCCCTGGCTACACTCACAGGATCTCACAGGCAATGCTGACACAGTCTTGCCAATATGTTCCAAATGGTTGCAGGGGCTTGAACATATGGTGGGTGCTGTTTAGAATGCACCATATCCAACTTCCAAAGTACATCACTTGAAATGGATTTGACAGGCAAGTTTCGATTTGGACCTTCCCAAATCACTGGATTGCTGCATTCCCTCCCACCAGTGGGTGCCAAGCGGGTATTTCTGGGTCTATTTACTGCGCCCCTGAAGCTGGTACTGTTGGGCCCATGTTAATCCAATTCTTTGGTCGTGATTCCAAAGGAAAACCCTGATTCCTCTACCAGGCCCCGGATCGAGCGATCAAGACCTCATGACCAGCGGTTGGAATCCACTCAAAACCGGTGGAAGTATAATAGGGCGAATGCCGGTAACTGCTGAGTTCGAGTCCTTGGAAGAGGAAGAATAGGCAAACCCGGGTGTCTCCCTATTTCAATCCATACCCAGATGATCCCAGATGCTTGTAGTTGTAGGTCAAAACCAGCACCTCAAAGGCACCCATGTTGAGTACATGCCCATGTTGAGACTGATCGCGACCGGGTCCCGCTCTGGGTCCCGCGGGGCCAGACTCTCGGACTCGGCGCCGCTCAGGCGGAAGTGGGAATCGCCTCGGCGCCGCCCATGTTGGGCGATGGGAGGCGACGAAGACGTGTGGAAGACGTGAAGGGTAGAGCGACTCCGGGGGGGTAGAGCGAGGCGAACGGAAACCAACAAACCTTAGGAAACCACAGGAGATCCGGAACTCTGACAGTCAATGCCAGTCATATCCAGCCTTGTTCCTTTCGACATACAGTCATACGGCGTCATTTTGTTCATGTTGCAGAACCTGAATGTTCATGTTTGTTATGCAACTTACGCGATTAGTGTTTCGACGTGTTTCTACCCAGTCAGCGGGAAACTGGACAAAAACATGTGGCTGCACGTCCGAGTGGACATGGCCATGGTGGCAACGTACCCAGAGACGATTGCCGCCCCGCAGACGGCGAGTTGCAAGATTCAACCCCCACCCACTCTAGAGGACAGGTACCTACCAGTGTACCTATCTTATGAGCCTTGCAGTTCAACTCAATATCACTGTCAATAGGTATCTAAGTGAAAGTGTATTTAATATATTTAGGCTCCAGTGCCAAACTTTCTGACGTGCAGCCAGAATCAGGGACCTTTCAGCAGGATAGGAAGTGAGTTCTTCCAGGACCTCTCCAGCCCTGAGTGTCGGGTAAATCAAACAGATATCCTATTGAATGCGTAACTCATACTATTTGTGGTAAAGAGAGTACCTGGTCGGCAACTCAGATGCTGCAGAAATCTTGCAAAAGCAGCGCATAAGTTTGCTTTCATTCAGCTTGTTTGGAAAAGACAACTTCACCTAGCCTCACCGAACACGCAGATCATCAATGATTTGCAGTTTGCAATGACCTTGGACCGACCATGCATGCATGATTTAAAAATACCTTACGCTTTGATGGTCTGAGTCATGTCCCATCAAAGGGTTCCGCTGAGCGTTTGTCATGAGCTTTGATGTTTGTGCTGCTTCTGGGACATTTGTCAGCTCGACCTGCCAGGTTAAGCTCCATCCGTGACTCCATCCGTTTGGCGCGTACTGCATACCCTCCTCAATACTCCCCAAGCAGAATGAGCAAACAAGCGAGCATGAGCAGACAAGCGAGCACGAGCAGACAAAGCAGCCGGCGAAGCTCCTGGCGTGAGGCCCTCGGGCTGAGCTCGGAAGTGGGAGATGTTCAACATAGTTCACATCACGTGCACTGAAGGCATCCTTATAAGAATCAGGAGAGATGCATTAAACAATAAGAATATATGTTTTGTTTTTTGCAGCCAGAGCTTGCACTACGGCTCAACTATGAGGGCTCAACGGCTCAACGACATGTTTCAGAATCTCTCAGTGTGATTGGACATGTTGAAAACAAAACTTGATACAGACATTATCAGACATTCAAAGTATCGGCTCCCGAGACTGCGCAAGATATTTCTTCTCCAATCTTCTCCACTATTGCCTTACTTTTTTCAGTATATATATATAGCTACTGCGGGTTCCCTTCTGAATGTTGGTTCGAGCAAAGAATCCCCAAAACAACATGTACATTGTGCCACAACTTGGATGATCGGAATGTCGGCCACGTCCAGGCACCAGTGTCGATGCCCATCTCCCGAGGAGCCCGGATCTGGAGACACCGGACGCAGGAAGAATAGGAAGAGGATGGACGCAGTGGACGCAATTTACTAATAGCTTCTTTGTTACTACTAGTAAGGCACCTGTTACTAGAAGCGATGCACTTGTTACTACTAGCTTCTTTGTTACTACTAGTAAGGCACCTGTTACTAGAAGCGATG